AAATCGATTGACCGTTTGGTTTACGGAATATAATTATCGGAAATTCATGAATTTATATAATTGAAAATAGTTAATATGGAAAATATATAGTTATGCTTTAACTATCCATGTACAATGCAATCAATCAAGTGAGACTATATACCGCTAAAAGATTGTGTTCTAAACTGGCCCGTTTTACAGCGGATAAACTTTTTACAGAGACTGTCGCGCGACAACAACCTTAAGGATGTCTTACACACTTTCCGCCAAATTGTAACGTTACTGCGTTTTGTCATTATTTAAGGTTTTCTTGCTAGTGTTTTGTTATTTTTCCTGTTTTTCTGAGATTTATTGAAAATATAGAGTTTGTCATGATTGTCACTCAATCAGGGAGTGAGAAGAGGAATGCCGAAGAGATGAGGAATTTTTTGAGAAGCACCTCTCTACTTGTATCATGAAATTCATGACTCAAAAATTGACAAGAAAATCATATCCAACTCCAAGAAAAAAAATCCTCTGCCACGAATTGCATTAAAAAAAAAATCCTGATAATTTATTGAGAATAAAAATATGATTGCGCACACCAAGTCTAGTTTTGTATAAATCGACTGAGATTTTTTAATTTCTCAAATCCAAAAGATGTCAATTCAACTACTTCACTTGATTCAAAATATCGTTTTCTTATTTTGAATTTAAAAATCTCTTGACTAAAGTTTTTCTTTCAGTACCAGACAGGGTTTTTTTGGAAATTTTTATAATCCAAGAATTACAATCGCTTTTGTCAGGGAATAGTTTTTTGACCAAGTGGCCGACCGCTACCGACAGACTGAAGATAAAACCATTTTGTATGTAGAAGAAGGAAATTAAGGTTGTTGTCGCGCGACAGTCCCTGTAAAAAGTTTATCCGCAGTGAAACGGGCCAGTTTAGAACACAATCTTTTAGCGGTATAGAGTCTCACTTGATTGATTGCATTGTGCATGGATAGCTAAAGCATAACTATATATTTTCCATCTTAACTATTTTCAATTATATAAATTTATGAATTTCCGATAATTATATTCCGTAAACCAAACGGTCAATCGGTTTGATTTTTTTTTCTGTATTTCCTCCCACGATGTATATTCCACGTTTTTTTTTTATTTCGGAAACTGTCGAGCCGTTGATTTTTAAAAAATTCTAATCGGCAAAACTCCATTTAAACACGTGTTAAATCACTCAAATTTCAAAAATTTATATCTCAAGTTCAAAACGGTCAATTGCAAACGGAAAAGGCTCATTATGTTGCTAATTTTTCAAACTATTCACCATAAAATTTTGAATGAAAACTGTCGAAAAAAAATTCTACGCGACAACAACCTTAAGATTAAGAAAAAGACTGTCGGTGGTACATGTCCCATTTTTCTTATAATTTTCGGGTCTTGACGATTAAAAATTCCATAAAACAGTGAAAACCTACGAACCGTAACCCATCCCTGGTCACAAATCGTTTTCCGACCTCAGCCAATCCATAATCTATCAAAATGTTAGCGAGATCTTAATTTCTTTCAGAGTGGTGAAGGAAAATTGGTGATGCCCCATAGGTGATTTACGCGGAGAGAAAAATTCTTTAAAAATTACCTGCCTGTTCTATAAACTACCAGTCAAAACAGTATTGAGTAAAAATTATGGAACAGTTACGCATTTTTTTCACTGAACGTTCCGTACTTTTTCGTTGACGTTCTAAACTTTTTACGGCAAGTCCACTGAAAAAGTGCGTAACTGTTCCGTAATTTTTACTGAATATTGTTTTGACTGACATCACGGAAAAGGCACATGATTTTTAAAGAATTTTTCTCTCAATGTACACATTTAACGAATTTTATCAGAAGGTTGTTGTGCCTTTGTACTACATAAGCATTTGGCTACATAATGATGTTCAATCAATGCAATTGGAGCCTCAATACTTGACGAAACCATATCATTCGGGAGAAATAATAATAATAATTAGTCTTTATAATTGGAACCCCGATGTACGGCCAGCCGATTTTAGCCCAATGTTGCAGTCGTATTGCATCTGTCGTCAAACTTCACATGATCATTCCGGAAATGCAATCAATCCCTTAGAATCAACAAATTAATACTAAATTGTATTACCATTATATTGTTAAAGTTTCTTCCACTAATAAACGATTAATGAACGGGTAGCAATACAAATTTGAAAGTAAAATTTCTTTTTAGTAATGCAACTAATAACCAAGGTAAAATTGAATTCTCCAAAATAACAAAATGCTGGATAATTCATCATAATCTCTTAAGTAAACACTGCGTTAGATTCTTAAGCAAATAGAATTTATCTAGTCTGTGATGTAATTCGTCAATTACTGGAAAATTTCACTAAGTGGAAAATTGTTCATTATGAGACATTAATGATGATAATATTGTTTCAGCATTTAATGTCTGGTTGGCTCTCAGACTACAGTTACAAATGTCAGCCAGTTGATTACTCCCACAATCCAACAGCAATGCGAATGGCTAACCTGTGCTGGTGGTACTTCATCAGCAAATTCACGGAATTCGCTGACACGGTGAGCACTAACTTTAAACCGCTGATTGTTTTTTTAATTATACTGAAAAAAAAAATTGAAAGAACAGAACATGGATGATTCAAAGATATAGCCAATTTTCTAATGCAATTGATCAGAAGAGGGATGTAGGAAAAAAATTATCGATTCGTCAGAGTGCACTGAGAGTAAAGCCTCGATTAAACGTGTACGTTCTTGATTGAAGTTCGGAACGATCTTGTTTCCGTTAGCAATTAACCTGATTATTGAACCAATCTTTTCAGGAACTTGCCAATTCATAGCACTAAATGATCATTTCTCCTTCGAAAATTCTATTCACGGTGAATTATACACTTGCATCAATCTTGCGCACGCTTAAATCAAGGAGATGCAGATTTAAATTACGCTACGGTAATGAAAGAGTACGAAAATTATATTCAAGTATGAACGGAAAATAACGTACAAATATATACACATAAATATATATATACCTTAGTCAGGTATTAAATATGCTTGAATCCAGTGTATACGTTATATTCAAAAAAGTACGCAATTATTTCAGTATATTTATTGCTAGTATAATTTATAATTAATAATTAGAATATATAGGGTGAACTTCATTATAGTATATTTTACTTTCAATGTTGTCTGTAATTTTAATGATTTTTCGATAGTTAATGGGACAATCCGATGAATTTTTGTATGCAACTATTAATAAACAATTCCACAGAATGCACTTCATAAAAAAAAGAAAAAATCAAAAATGTTGTGGCGGAATGTTTGAAACAACAGCAGGGGTGTAGTGAGTAGTCAGTCTTTCCAGACCAACAAATTCAAATCGTGGAATCACAATGCTACGGTTGTTTTCAAATTTAAAGAATCTTGAATTTTGCAGCCAGTTTCAAATGTTGAATGCACAAATTAAAAGTAAATGTTTCTGTATTGATTAATTTATCTACAGTAGATAATAAAATTGCAAGAAAATGAAATCTTTATTGATATCGCATTGAAACTCGAACCTCTAGAATGGAATATGAAATATAATTGAGTGAAATTTATTTTGTCAGTGTGTGCATTCCTTCATAACTATAGGCTCAGGCTATTTGGAATTTTTTTTTTATAATCCCGCCCTTTCTGCCCTGTTCTGGCTAATTGGCTCTATCTGACCCTATGCATGCGGTTGTAAATCCTATACTGTACCGTATTCACTCTTCTATAGAACATAGATGTCACACGGGAAACCACAGGGAAAACCATGTCGGTAAAGGCGGTTACTCTATTAGCAATCTCACGCTCATCGGTGCCTGTTGAAAAATTTAATTCAACGGGGAATCGAACTCATAACTTCCAGAACACTAGGCTCGCATCTAGCCACTGAGCTATCAATTAACAATTGACAAGAGTTTATTGAGATGAGAGAATATATACATTTGTTTAGTACATATAATATTAATATTTTATAATATTAACTAATGGTTAGGAAGCTAGGTCATCAGCCGATGGCTCTCTACCTATATTTACATTAGTTTTGTTTATAATTAATTACAGAATAGGATAAAAATTGCACGGAAGGTTAGGGACAGGGGAAAGCAACAAATTGGGGAAAACCTTAAAAGGAATGCTTAGGTGTTTGTGGGGGAAGGGATTAAGTGTAGAGGGTGTATTAATTACTCTATTGTAATTAATGGATATTGAGTCTTCTGAGACAACCTGAGATTCTGTTAGTGTCAATATTTTTTACTAATTTGTTAGGATGTTTAATTACGGTTGTAGAGAGGTTAGATTTTTGTTTGCTTATCAAAACTGAAATGGTTTCTATATTTAGTTCGCTGTAAATTTGATTAATTGGGGTGAATCTATTGTAACCACCAATGATTCTGAACTGAGCTATCGACGTCGGTCATTTTGAAATTGAATCGAGGACAAAAACGATTGAATGGCGATCAATCACATGAATACTTGATCGACGCTTTTTATATCTCAGTGTACGAAGGGATAAACCTTAGTGAAAAAATGAATCGTGACCGTAGAAAAATTAATAAAAAACGATTTGTAACAGTTGATGTAACCAACTAATGTAAATTATCCATGGCGAACGGAAATGCATTCTTTTCCATATGATGTTCTTAGGATCATTAACGGTTGATATTAACCACCCGCGGTTGAACGCCGTCGGCCAACCGATTAATGATCATGTTTGCCACATTGCAATCCACATTGATGTCGATTTCTTAATTTCCTCTACAAGAATCTAATAAAAAATGTGGTGACTCAAGATATGTAAAATTATGTTTCTGCTGATATTGTTTGTAGGATATTATTACCAATCCCTAGGCTAGATAACGAGTATTGATCTTAAGGTCTATTTCAATTAAACAGTATGTTTCATGACATTTAATTATCTCATTGCAATCATAGCAGATTACGTATGAGTATCTGCATTCTCAGTACGAATCAAGCTATTCACAAAATCACCAGATAGAAAATACGCCAAATAATTTACTTGACGTGGGAAAATCTGACAATTTACTTGTTCGAAGTAATTGTTTTTGACAGGAATATTTTTTTGTCAAGTGAAAATTTTATGATTTCAAAAGAAACACGGAAAAAAATAAATACTTGAATGAAATGTAGTTGATACTTGATCTTACTCTATTCATCATTGTCATTAGAATCATGGAAAAATATAAAAAATATAAAATATAAAATAACCTATATACTTGAATAAAGTATGAAATATGCTTGATTCAAGTAGTTATCTTTTTCCGTGAAGGTACGGTTGAAGAGAGGGAAACACGAAAATGAAGTTCGCCCGAGTCGAAATATCTCGAAACGTGTAGGACTAATTCCTCATTGGTCAATTCAAACCGCCAAATTCAAATTCGGCGCACGGGGTGCGCAGTAGGTCTCGTCCTCATTATGAAAGTAGAAGCACAAAAATGAAGTTCACCCGAGTCGAAATATCTCGAAACGCGTAGGACTAATACACATCAAATTCCTCATTGGTCAACTCAAACCGCCAAATTCAAATTCGACGCACGAGGTGCGCAGTAGGTCGCGTATAATAAAAGTTTCATAGTTGGAAAATTACAATAAAAAGTCACCTGCATACCGACTTCAATGATTAATTTGCATTGATGGAATAATAATGGACGTAATGTACTAGCAATTGAGTAACTACTGCGTAATATCACACATGTTTCAAAATAATATTCATCAAATTCCATTATATTTCATCACATGAACATTCAGTAGTACCCACAGTTTTTCCAAAATTTGTGATTTTAATGATGTCCATAATCCTTTTTAAGAAAGTAGAAACAGAAAAATGAAGGTCGCCCGAATCGAAATATCTCGAAACGCGTGGGACTAATTCCTCATTGGTCAACTCGAACCGCCAAATTCGAATTCGGCGGACGGAGTGCGCAGTAGATCTCGCATATATACTATAATACATCAGTGGTGGGCAAATTGCGCGTATTTTAGTTTCTGAATAATTTTTGCCAGTGGTTTTACGAAAATGAAATGATTTGATTGAATACATTTGTTTCAGAGAAAGAATTGTATAAAGCAAAAATTCATTTATGATTCAGATATTTTTCGTACTGCGCAAGAAGGATAGTCAAGTGACGTTTTTGCATCTATATCATCACTCGTTGACGCCACTTGAGACCTGGATATGCGTTAAATTTATTGCCGGTGGCCATGGTACTCTCGGCAATCTTATAAACAATGCTGTACACGTAGTGATGTATGCTTACTATATGCTATCAGCAATGGGACCGGAGTACCAGAAATATCTCTGGTGGAAGAAACATTTGACCACTGTACAACTGGTAAGTTCATATATCAACTTTTTCCTAAGTATTATCACAATAATTACCATCCCACCTTTAACTTTAGTTCAAGTTTACGGATCATTTATCGAATTAGAGACCGCAACATTTTGAGCTCAAATTTTTGTTATTATTATTTGGTGAACTAGATCTAGACATTTACCAAACTCTCATTTTGTACAGTTGTTTTGCGTCAATATTAATCAAAGAAACGAACTGCTGAAGATTCTAGCTTTCCGATGTTATCGTGAGAATTATCAGAGCAAAATAAACTCATAACAAATGATTTTCGTGCAGCACTCATAATTCTGCTCATCCCATATATTTTCTCTATTACAATAAGAGAATGTTATTTAAAAAAAGGTGAATTCGATAAATAATTAGTAGATAAGCATGAATCATAAGTCAGGGTATATTCCATCGTGGCATCATCCACTATCTGATATCAGCGATATGATAATACATATAAACAATTGTCACTGTGCTTTCAATTTATTTGATTTACTATTTTGAATCACATATTCGATTAATTTGGACATGATAATAAAATACATAAATATTTGGCTGAATAATAACCGTTATTACGGACTTTCTTTGACCTAAATTGATATTTTTTAAAACGTCTCAAGTGAAACTCGAGACATTTTTGAAAAATTTAAACGCCATTGAAAAGACTTGATATTATAGACAATAAATTCTCATAAATTACATCAAATGCTAGATCAAATAACGGTGAGAGATGATAAAACTTCAAGAACTGTTGAAAACGCAACTAAACTAGATAGAATCGATGCCATTTCAAGGAATAAAAATGGTATACAAATATTCCAATTCATTGGAATCAGAAATATAGAAAAATTGGACAAAAAATTGTAAATTAGATAAAACATAAAAATCATATTTTCAAATTCGAACCGTCATAACTTCACAAAAAATGGTGAGAATCCTCGAACTCGCCTATTTTCTTCAAGTTTCTTTAATGAGTGTTCTAATAATTACAACATACAACGTCAATTCTAGAGCACGAAAGGAATTATCCCTAAGACCGAATGGATTATCAGAAACTGTAAAGATTTTTTAGAGAAATCGGTTAAATACAAGTCGTCTTCTTAATGAGAAAATCTCAAGATAAACCAGATGTCAATCTAGCCGCTTGTATGCTAAAATCAATATTTTCATTATTATAGATTAATACCTCTCTGATTATTTTTCATTGAGAGTGAAAAAGTCGGTGAATATTTGGACACCAAAATGATTGACAGTTTTGTAAACAAGTTCTATTATTTATCAATTAAAACACCATATTTTGACAAATATTAATGGAAATATTAATTGGAAAATGTAATTTGGGCGTATCAATTAGGTTATTAGAAGAATCTTGCGGAAAAGATAGCCGAAAATATAATTTTAAACAATTCATTGAAAATGTCGAAACTACAAGACATGACATGATAGAAATACCAGTCCTAATATTCTGAGTAATTAGAACAACTTGCCTTCAAATCGAAAAGTTGATAAAGTATAACACCATTAATTAAAAAGTCTAATTAGTTTGTCTAGTTAGAATGTCATTATTCAAATATTTCCGAATAGAGGATAAACAAGGCATTCAAAAAGATCGTAATTACATTGATCCGTAGAAAAATCGGTAACCTTATACTGAAATCTTTTATTACTCCTCCTGTGTGAAAATGTCTGAAATAACGCTCAGAAAATGGTGAAAACATTTTCTCAATTTCTTCTTTTTTTATTTTTATTACCTCCAACTTTAAATGTAATGACCTGGCCTAGGATTATCACTGACCGAATACTCGAGTACTTGCTCCAACTAATAATTGTCAATTAACATTGCGAAAGAATTACACACAAGGTTCCAACGCTGGAGATAATTCGAGCTCGAAGGAAAGTGAATGTCTTGCGGTCACTGTGCTACTAGTGCCAGTGTTTCTAAAGGGCGAGTGCATGTGCACTATCAGATGAAGTTGACTGATAAAAATAAACAGTCATGATCGTTATCTCCAATTTAATTTTCCATTTATTTTCACGAGCATTAGTTGCACAATGTGAGACATTTCTATAAAACGAAAAATGACAAGCGAAAAATTTTCAATTTTCAATTATTTCATTCAATCGGGCGAATTGGAGGCGAAAAAATACAGACGATCTTATGAAAATATTTTCATGCATTTATGAATTTATTGAATAACCATGTGCTCAATTTTACTTAGCCTGAGAGCAGGGTAGCTGCGGAAAAAATATCGAGTAATAATAACCATAAGTGGTTATTTACGTAAGTTTAGGGTTTTTAATATTGCTTCCCTGCTCCTAGACTGTCTGAAATTTTGTAAATTGTTATTTAAGGATGTTCTGCCGGTATTTTATTTTTCCTATTTTTCTGATATTTATTGAAAACTATCGATCGGATTGGGATATGAAAATATAGCGTTTGTCTGTTACATCATGATTTATCCTTTCACAAAGTTTCATCTCGATACACCAATTTTTATAACTTTTCCCTAGAATTTATTGATTTTTTATTAAATTTCAGTGAGAAGTTACAAAAATTAGTGTATCGGGGTGAAACTTTATGGAAGAGTCAATCATGATGGAACGGACAAACGCTATATTTTCATATCCCAATCCAATCGATAGTTTTCAATAAATCTCAGAAAAACAGGAAAAATAACAAAATAATTCATCCGAGTTATCAAAAAATCTTCATGGCAATGGCTGAAATTTTTTGTTCCTCTCTTATTTATTGATTATATATCAATTAATTTTGCCTTTTTATTATCCGTAAATGCGGATACTAAAAGACTATCAAGTGATTCGTGACCGAGAAATTTAATAATTCACGAACTACTTTAGGATTTTCCTTCGTATGGAGGAGTTTCCAAAATATTTGAAAAAAATGTTTTTTCATTGAGATCCAAATTGTTGATTCAACATAAATTCTTATCTGTATTCTTTTAGCATTATTTTATCCGAAACCAGGAAATGTCGAAGTGATTCCACTTCTCAGTTGGATAAAATCAATAATAGAAATAGAAATAGAAAAATCAGCTGAGCCTTTGCGGTTTTAACATTCTAATCACAGAAAAATGCATTTGGAGCAATTATTATAATAATAATTCCAGAGGGGACAGTGGGCAAAATTTTTTTTTATTTTTTATTGTAAATCTTATCATACCTCATAACAAAGATATTTCTTATTATTATAATTCTGGTTGTGTAGCATGATAGAATCATGAGGGTAGCATTTTTCAAATATTATTTTATAGATAAATTTTTAATGGCGATTAATTCCATAGCGGTCTCAATTTTTTCATCGATCGATATGAAAAAAAAAATCGATTTTTCGATGAAACTTTGAGATAAAAATTAATTTCAAATAACATTAATAGATGCAACTGAATGCAGTCATTTCTTTTGGAAATGGCGAATTTCATGGATCGAATCTGGCAGAATTTCATGACAAAAATGGAAAGAAATATATATGTATAGTTATATACATACACACGTACACATATCAAGATACTTTAAAGCATTCTACTATCATTCTCAACGAAAATAAGGAGGAAATTAATTGCCTACAAATCTAATCGTTTACAACTCCATAAATACCAGAATTTTTTTCAATACGCATTCTCGCTGATTATATCTTAGATTAACTTGGTGATGTATAAGTTTAACAGATTTAATTATCACAAGACCATAATTCTGTAGTGACTGCTATTTCAAATGTTTTCAATTGAGTCTGCATAAAACTCTTCGTGGATTTATTGAAAGATCCTATCCTCCTATTCTAAAAAGGACAAACTTCGAGACTATCGATATCTCGAAAGCCTGTCACGCTTATTCCTCATTGGTTGAGTCGTCTGAGGCGGCTAATTTAAATTTGGAACTCGTTTAAATAAAAAATTTTCAATCACAATTTTTATAATTAAATTTCATTCGTTCTCGTCCTATCATAAAAAGGACAGACATCGAGACTATCGATATCTCGAAACTCGGTCACGCTTATTACTCATTGGTTCAGTCGTCAGAGGCGGCTAATTTGAATTTGGAACTCATTTAAATTAACAATTTTTAATCACGATTTTTATAATCACAGTACGCCGTAGCGTTCGTTTTTCCTATTACAAAAAGGATAGACATCGAGACTATCGATATCTCGAAACTCTGTCACGCTTATTACTCATTGGTTCGGTCGTTTGAATCGCTTCTTCATATCGTGCAGTACTGTCCTGAGAAAGGAGAAGACTGAGATAGGGAAAGATATATTTCATGGGCGAGTCTACTCTGCAGGTCTTGAGTTGAATGATCAACGAAATGCATTTGAAAAATTTTAAACGCACAAGGGGTGTAGGCAAGGAGGACACAGGTGAAGGGGAGGGAAAAAGTGAAAAGTAGGTACCTAACATAAGGTTGAGTAACTGTTGAGTTGCTTTGCTGGACTCACCAAGGCACCCGACAACACTCGTGTCGCAATAATTTGGCATTCCGATATACGGGACCAGGTCTACACCGAGTGCCAGTGGAGGACGCTCGATTGGACCACAGCATGCCACAGAGCCTCAACGCATACCAAATACCATTTTTACACGTTCTCATCTTGCAAATCTCTCAATGCGTAACGTGCAAATCAAGAAAACTCAATGATTATTTTCTTATGACTGAATTCTCAATGATTTACTAATTATTTCAATAAAATCATATTGCAAAAAATATTACTTGAATCGAGTATATTTGATACTTTGAGAATTTTCAATTTTTTCTCTTCGTTCTTCAACAAAATCGAAATATATTATGCCTTAAAAAAAATCCAATGTAACGTTTTTTGAAGCCGGTTTATTCGATATATATATATATATATAATAGATATATAATATAATATATATAATATATATATATTATATTATATATATAATATATAAATAACAATATATAACATATATATAATATATTTATACATATTTATTCTATTTTCATTCTAAAATTGAGAAACATTTTCATTTTATAATCTCTCTGTTTCTAGCTCCGAGTCTCAATCTGAATGTTTGCATTCTGATTCTTATATATCTATCGTTGAAAAATGAAATGGAAACTCATGTAGTAGCACCACAAAAGTAACAATATGCGCGCATTCATCTCCAGTCCCTAAAAGGATGTACCAAATTTGCTGCCGTCTTACATTTTTTATCCCCAATTCGAAAATCAAATACTTCAATAGAACTTCCACCCAATTTATTGGAGGATATTTCGGATTGCGTGAAGCTATTGGCAAACAACTCAGACCACAATTATGTCAGCTGATTTTTTACTCCTACTTTTTGCACTCAGAACTGTTGTAAAATAGAAATACTGGAACACTTGAATTTCTTCTTATTGAATTTTCCTTTAAAATTGTAAAGAACACATCTCGTCTGGCTTCATAAAGAAAAAATATTTTTCTGGAATTTTTTAATAAACTATCGCAATATGCAATAAAAATTAATTAGGTCATCTTATAAAATTCCCAGCCTAAGAATTATGTCACCAGAATATGCTTGAATATTTAATCCGATTTTTTAACTCGTGACTCATTACTCAGATTGGAAATTTTGTAGAATACAGAAAAAAGAATAAATATCTCTTTGAATTTTGAAATAATTTTGTTCCACAAAATTGGCGAATTTGTTGACATAAATTGTTATTTTCGAGAAAATGTAATGAAATCTTGTTTGTAACGTATAGAATTCCTGGAACAGTTAGAGAAATTTCGAAATTACACCCATTTTTATACAATGCCTTGAAAATTAAACTGTTTCTTCTGTTATTAATTAGTTATTAATTAATTTATTGATGATTCTGTTACAGGTGCAATTCTTCTTAGTATTTGTCCACAGTGCTCAAGCCCTGGTTTTTGACTGTGGCTACCCAAAATTAGTGGCAGCATTACTTCTCCTCCACTCAACGATATTCTTCGTACTGTTCTCCGACTTCTATCTCCGTGCTTATCGCAAAACAACAACATTCGTGAAACAACAAAAAAGTGAATAAATTGATTGTACAAAGACAAAGACAACGGACAAACAAGAAAAAATATTAATGAAAATATAGTTAAAGAAATGTCCGCATTTCCTTTGACGTGCCAACTTCATGTTACGATACTTTCCCTCTTCGATGGAGAGCGATCAGTATTTTATTGTCTCCTGCTTTTTTAAGACTCCTGAATGTTGATTCGTTCAGCGAACAGTTAATTAGTTGATGATTTTACATTATCATTCACTCGTGTTCTAGAATTTTTCAATTTCCAAATTTCATTCCCGGTGAAATTGTCCTCAACATTATTCATCATATGCACGATATAATGTAAATTGTTAATCCTTCATTGTACCCAGTTTTATTGTGGCACTTTATGACTGTAAATAATTATGCTCAATATATATTTTATAATTTTAAGTATTTAATTGTTCTATTATAATCATATCGATGTAATGCGCTAATAAGAAAATCCGGGGTAGAGTGACTCCACACGGTAAAATCAACCGCATCAAAACATCAGGTGAAAAGCGATCATTGGATTGAATGATCGATATAACGGGCATTGTAAATTCTTTTAATATTTATGCTCTAGCTCCATATCGGCTAATATATATTTTCACCATTCTGTCGCGTACAGTTTCTGTATTTTTTTAATGCTTATTTTACATCGCCTCGAGTTGGATTAGACTATGTGGCGATTCATCAGGTCTTTTTAAAGCTGGTTAGATCTCACCATTCTACCCGGTCAGGAATCGAACCTGGAACCTATCCGTTGTGAGACAACGACCTTAACCACTACGCCAGGCCACGGGGCACTTTCTGTATTAAGGATGTTCTGCTGGTATTTTGTTATTTTTCCTATTTCTCTGAGATTTATTGAAAACTATCGATCGGATTGGGATATGAGAATATAGCGTCTGTCCGTTACATCAGGATTTATCCTTTCAGAGTTTCATCTCGATATACCAATTTTTATAACTTTTCACTAGAATTTATTGATTTTTTATTAAATTTCAGTGAAAAGTTACAAAAATTAGTGTATCGGGATGAAACTTTAGAAAGAGTCAATCATGATGGAACGGACAAACGCTATATTTTCATATCCCAATCCGATCGATAGTTTTCAATAAATCTCAGAAAAACCGGAAAAATAACAAAATACCAGCAGAACATCCTTAATCATTCATATCTGAACTTCAGTCAACGTGAAATATCACGGAAACATCGAGCAATTAATATTAAAATTGTTACCAATTAAATATTAAAATTAACATTAAAAATAATCGGGCAATTCAAATCGAATTTTGTAAAATGGAGCCAATGTGAGAAGCTGTGGGATTAAGATTCTTTAATATTATTCCTTTGCTGCTGGGCTATCTAAAATTTTGCTAATGGTTACCTAACGAATTCATCAGTCTATTAAAATTTATACGTGATGTTTTTTGCAATTTTTTATTTCCTCTGTCGCTCGATTGCTTTAACAAAACATCATGAATCAAACACTTTTTTATGATAAATAAATTATATGGAATAATTTGAATTTCAAAGCAAAGACAGAAAAACATTGAAATCATATAAATTCCAACAACAAGGCAATATCATTTTTTCAACACACCTGCACGGAAATTTCGCACTTTGCTCCCTGATAAGCGGGGGAAAAGTGAGTACTTCCCGCCCTCGGGTAGAAAGGTGCTGGTCGGAAAGTCAAGACTTAAAACTTTTCACCCTAGAGCCGAAAGTATTTGCTTTCCTTCCGGTTTTTAGACAGCAAAACACCAAATTTCCTTTGCAGGCGTACTGAAAGATAGCATGTGCACCTCGGGCGGAAAACACTGACTTTCCGCACTTGATGCATAATATACTATTTTCGCATTCCCTAGCAAATTAATTCCAGACTTGACCCTGGGTTGACTCTTGGGTTGAGCAAATTTCCAACAGTTTCTGTCTCTCTTTAATGTAGTTACAGTTTAATCAGTTAAATAACAATTAATCTGAGTGGAATCTATCACGGCTGTCGTTAAGTTCCGGTTGGGAATGTGCCTCGTAAATCGAAAGCCTTTCCATTTTCTTACGAAAAAGGGATAAAATGCGCCGTGTATTCGTGAAATATTCTCTATGTGAAGTGAATCCTCCGACTTCTCTTTTAAAAAAAGATGATAAAATGGATTCCCACTTTTTTTTTCAGTGCTTTGACGAACAATTATTACTTGTGGGTGATCCCAATGAGTTCGATCGTCAAATGAACTTCAAGAAAGTTTGGAAAGAGGGCTCACTCAGTCCCTGATTGAGTGACACCATGAATTCCAAACGAAATTCCACTTCGCGTGACTTCAAGTGTGAGTTCAATGACTTCGGGAAAAAATGAAATCAATGAAGATCAATCGTGTAATTTCTTCGACGCTTTTGTTTCTCAGTTTACAAATTAGGATTGTAAACCTTTCACAAAGATCAGACAAGAAGCCTGACTAACTCATTTTCGAATCTCAAATCGTAAGATTGTCCGGCTGTCTCTATTTACCGTTTCTCGACCCGAAAAAATAAAAAAACTTAACTATTCCGTTTAATTTTCGATCAATCACTCCTTGTAATTGTTTAACCACCAAGAAAAATTTCACCCTTAAACAATTTTACCTACAGCCTCTAATAAATTAATTTTTCGCGAAATGTCGTAGTAGGCAATTTAATGGAAGTGTCACATAATTTTTATCTAAGGCCAGGAATTTTTCTGCGGCGTTCCGTAATTTTTTTCTGAATGATCTGTAAAAAAATTGCAATACCACTTCAATTTTTCGAGTGGATTCCGTGATCGGTAAGTGAATTGAAAGTTCCGTAATTTTTACTAAATATTTATCTCCGTGTAGAGATTTATTTATATTATCTCTTTCTAAGACGGATTCCCACAGAATCATAGAGCTACAGGGATCTGAGCTGGGCGACTGTTCCAAAAGAAGCCACCCTTTGATCCTCAACCCTTTTTTCTCGATTCAGCTCAAGCAGTTTTTATATTTCAATCATTTGGATTTGATAGGAGGAACCGTGTGAGTGAGTTCACTCAAACTTGAAGAATTATATTTTTATTATCTTCTTCGGAACAAGTGCATAAATCGCTTGACGAAAGAAGAAACGCAAGTTCTTCAGTCTTTAGAATAAGATGTGATTTTCATGTCAATTTTCGAATTACGAGTTTTTTGATAAAACTAGAGGCATGCTTCTTGAAAAACTCCTCAACTTTCGTGAAAGAACTAAATCTCGTGACTAAAATTGTTTTTTTCGATGACAAAATATCGTTTTGTTGGAAATTTTTGAGTGCATGTCTGTTAACACACTGATAAAAACTCGCTTCTCATAGTAACAACACATTGAGAAAAAAAATTGATCAACTAGCGTTTCACTTGCGGAAGTTTTATAACTGTAACAACTTGTAAACATGAAAAAAAATTTTATTCTCACTGAATGGACGATATAAACCTTGTTAGCTGAAAAATGATATATCCTAATAGTCAAATTGCTGTGGATTAAATAATTTTTTTCAACAGATATTTTTTTAAGTAGTTGACCAAAAATTGTTAAAGGATTTTCCCGTGGGCTATAAAACCGAAATATCTTGTGATTTTTCTAAAACACGTCCATTGAAACATATTTGTAAAATATCTTTGACTACTTTATAATAAAATTGAATCGCGTAGCAGTAACTCAATTATTTTTTTACAATTCAGAAGATCCATTTGCGTTAATTCACAATCATTTTATCATTGGAATTGCTAACAAATTTAAATAATAACTCTTTAATTCTATCATTCTCAATCGCACATAATCATGACTGTGTTCTTCATTATAAAGAAATAAAAAATCGAACCTTTCAATTGTATGCAAATTGTCAATTGATCTTCAGATTACAACTACATCATCGATAAGTTCACGAATAGCATAGAATAGATAATCATCAATTCGATAAATGCAACCACGTGTCGAGTGGAAATAGTAAAGACTAAAGAATATACAGAGTTGGTTAATAAATTTGTTAATGTAAAAATAAAAAGGTAAATTTGACAATTCGTACCTCAGAAATGGGAGATCTCCCAAAAAACGTGTTAATGAATCCAGTGAATTATAGAGAAGTTTCTGAGTAAAAATCGGATTACAGTCGTCACCAAATGCCACTAAACTTTTCACTCAAATAAAATGTAATAACAAAACATAAATAAAGAGGAAAGAGGGATAAACAGGTGTTGCTAGCGCCGCATCCTACGGCAGTACCTGAAGCAGCCAAGTGCAACTTATCGATTGCACTGAGAAGAGCTCATCCCCTCCAAGTCGCTTTCAGTGATACTCATCTAGGGGTGAAACAATTATTTTTTTTAGTATTTTTAATGATTTTTCTTCTCATAAAACAATGAACGTATTGTAATTGTATTTATAATTAATAAGAATTTTCTACCTGCTATGTTGAGGAAAACCGATGTAATCATGGATTTGAAGTCGTGACACGAGTGATGAGAATGATGACAATAAATAAAGATGTAAAACAAAAATATTTGGAATAAAATAACGAGGTTTCACACACTCTATGCGCTTTTTTTCGCATATCCTTCTTTTCTACTTTTAAGTTAAGATTAAGATAACAGGCATTCAACAATTAGATGAATTTTATTAATGCAATCCATTCAAATTATGTACATAAACAAGATAGAGAATCTTGTTTTTCGTAGTATCTAAGTATTAACGACAGAGATGACTTTTTTGTTTTATTTTCTTCATTTTCTTTTGGGCACCTGCTGATTGAAAGTAGTATTCAAGCGGCGGCTGCCTGCTTTTTCTTGCATTGTCTCTCTAGGAGTCGCCGTTCACGTTCATACTCTTTCATTCTCAAAACGTAACTGCAAAGCAAATGGGGAATAATGTAACAATCATGAGGATCTCAATTGTAATTAATTCCGCAAGAAATTATGAGTTAAAATTTTTGCAGATAATTTCCAGTACTAGAAGTGAATCTAAAGGAATATTCTCGCAAAATAATCTCTGGGAATCTTCTTTTTTAACAAAATCCAGATGTAACGAAGTGTCAATATTTTTCGACACATAAAGCTTATGAAAATGAAAATGATTTTCAGAGTGAAATTTTGAAATTACTGTTGTTATCAATTTTCGTCCTAATATTTAAATCACTAAATTCATCGGGTCAGCTTAATACTTGCTCGCAAAATCAAGTTTAACTATTCATATTCTTACTCTTCATAGGCACAGACATCCCACTTATGTTTTTCAGCTCCACATTTCATTACCCATGGAAAATTTTCTCTTCTGCAGACTTCGAGTTGTAAATAATGATGAGCACAATAATCACGAAATTCGTCTTCGATCCTTGCTGCTCTCATCTCTTGTTGAGTGGCAACCATCACTGAAAATAATGTTCAATAATGATGAGCACAATAATCTGAAATACACTGAGATGATGCCGTAGAATAAATAAGAACAGATAATAAATTCACAAATTTTTACAAGCCTCACGAATTTTTCATATTTTTTCTTCACTATTACTTAATTAAATAAATTAAGAAGTTTGTCTATTTATTCCCTGAGAACTGAATATTTGACTATTTAATTAAATTAGGCGCTCATGACATTCTTCAAATTTCAAGAGCTTACAAAAAGGCTGATGATGATTTTTGCCATGAGCAACCCCTGCTTGACTTTGTAATAAAAATCGACTACACCAAGTTGACGAATTTATCTTTCAATCATAGGCATTGTTTTAAAAATCAAAAGGGTTATCACGTCGTATCTTCATATTATTGTAATGATCTGATACGAAAACAAATTCATGAATTTACTGTGCAACTGTCTTGCAATAAAAAATCAATAATCGGTCGTTTTTTTTCGTATGTTTCAACGATGACCTTTGATTCCATATTGATATTATAATACCTCATTCTACCTTCATAACAAACATTTTTGCATTTCCTTTAACTATTAATAAATCAAGAATTATGTATTCAACAAATCAATCTTTTCCCCATCAGCTTATAATAGAAATAAAATGAGAATTAGACAAAAAATAAGTATTATTCGTCGTTTTTTCAATATCAATTAATTAATCTTGTAAATTACTGACGATGTAGTTATTAATTCTGGTGAGACAGCAGAAATATTGGAAAATGGGATAATCGTGAGGTTTTTAAATAAATTCAGGGAGAATCAATGATTACATACCACCATAGAATAATTATGAATTTAGGTAGGTTAGGAATTTACTGACCCCTTGGTTTCCTTCCATTTTTAAATCCCAGCATTGCATCAAAAGACGGTGGATCATCTCCCATGGGGGTCACCTCTGGTTTTATCATCAATGCCAATCCACTCCCCATGTTCAATGGATTCAAATGATTTTTTAGTTTTTCCAAGAACGACCCAACTGTAATATTGTGATTTTGGTGCACAGTTGCTCCCTCACTGACATCTACTGGTCAATTACATACGTATTACATAATTTTTTTAAAATTCCATAATTTCAAGTCTCAGTGAACTCTGAATGTAATTATCAATATAATTGAATAATGAATATAATTGGTTTCATGCGTTCTCTAGTTACGATATGTAAATTGTTCGAGAGAAGAAATTGGCGACTCCTACGAGTTTTAATTATAATCTGGACTAATCTGGATTATATTCGAGGGATGAAAAACAATTGATGAAAGTATTTTCAAATTTTTTTTCACAATACAAATTTAAAAATCGGTATCTATTTTATGCGATAAGTTCGATAAATCCAAAGCTCCTGAAAAATACAAAAAAAATTCAGTAATTTCGATTAAGGTTAATGTATCATAATGTTCTTGTTCGACAGTTTTCCTTGTGGTGAATAGTTCAAAAAATTAGCTACAAAATAAGCCCTGGCCGTTTACAGTTGATCTTTTTGAACTTCAGATATAAATTAAATAGTTTTACCAATTAGAATTCTTAAAATATCAACGGCTCGACAGTTCTTAAAATAAAACAAAACATGGAATATATTTCGTGCGAGCGAATACAAAAAAAAATTAAATCGATTGATCTGTTGGTTTACGCCATATAATTATCGAGAATTCATAAATTTATGTAATTGAAAAGCTATTCTTTAGCTATTCATGGAGAATACAATCAATCGAGTGCGATAATATAGCGTGAAAAGATTGAGTTATAATCTGGCCCGTTCTACAGCAGATAAACTTTTTGTAGAGACTATCGCGATATAGCAACCTTAAATGAACAATTGTAATTTTTTTTCCTTTTAATTTACTATGACTGAGACTGTGAATGAATATTTATTTCCAAATTTCCACTGTATGGTTTTACGCCTTTTACAGTTAAGTATAGTTTAAGAAACATTTTGAAGACATACCGATAAATTTGAGAACATTTTTTTTTCCGAAAATTACTTTTTATTTGATATTTTTGTTTTTTAAAGAAAAACGATTTGAAAATTTAGATTTATTTGAGTATTTTATGCGGAAATCAACGGCTGCTTCACAATTAAACATAAAAATCCAACTTTTTTCATGATAAATGATCCCCCTGCAGAAAATATAAACAACTAAACAAAAACTTAAAAAGATGAAAAAAAAAACTTATAAACTAAAAAGATGAAAATATCCGAATAAAAAAGCTCCTGAAAATAAAGCGACAACTTTCTCCTTGACAGAAAATATATTTATAATATTATAGTTTTATTTTTATTTTATTTTTTCTAAAGTTAGATTTGTATAGAATTTTATTGAGCCAAAGAACTGCTACATCGGATGATGTAAACAATAGTTACAAAAAAAAATTTAAAATCTATTAATTTTTTCTACTGAATATTTTGAATTGAACACTTCAATAGAATTGATCAAAAACTAATACAAAGTTGGATGGGAATCCTATAAAATCTTTTAATACCTTCACGATATTTCTCCTACTGGATTATGGAGATCTAATCCAAGATCTCCAATAAATTTTTTTTTGAGTTTTTGTAAGAATCTTCTGTTTCAAAGAAGAAATGAGGCTGCGGCGATGTCTGCAGTAGAACAAATCACAGAGATGATGTTTATGCATAGATATCTGACCGGGATCACGATCTGCTTTTTCAAACTTGTAAAGGAAAATGAAAAGGACAAAATTTTTTGAGTTGCTTTAAATAGCGGGTCTTTCAAGTGCTTTACCTTTCCTCATTCTGCTTTACACTGTCAAAATGTCATTTTTTTGCGCAGTAATAAAAAATTGGGTAATAGATAAATCCTGGAATCCGTGATTGATGCGATATTGAACGACGGTGGGAGAACTCAGGCAACACTGAGAGAAATATTCAGGAAACAAATTAATGAACTATTTACGTAATCCGAAACAAGGAATCATTTTTTGGAAGTTTTATAGGAATGGCAGAAAAAAAGTCTAAAACACTCAGTAAGTTTTGAAGTTCGTCACTGAAAAAGTAAAATCTCACGAGAAATTCTGGACTCACCATGCTTCAAAAATAACAAATTCACTAACAATCAATAATTCTTATAGTACATCTGTGATGTTTCTGTATTTTGTTTATTCTAATTACAACATTTGACTTCGGGATTTCAGGCATTCGCAAATCTAGTGGTCTGAAACAAAGGAATCAGGTAGAATTAATTTTGACCTCAATGATTGATTGGTGAAAACAGTATTGCTGGAGTGGGGGAGAAGAAGTGGTGGGGGTAAATGGAGTGGGGAGAATGGTATAAAGAGACAGTCTTCAGCATCAGAGATCATTCTCCAGTTTCCTCCAGCAATAGCAACATGGAATTTTTCGGAAAGCTGATGCGCCTCCTTGGTGTTGGCAAAACTGAATGTAATCCAATTGTAAATCTGCCAGTGGAAATAACCCAGAATATTTTTAGAATGTTAGATCCCTACTCACTCATAAATGCGACCCAAGTATCTCGAAAATGGCGTGAAGTATGCCGCGGTGATCCTCAGTTGAGAGCCACTGCCAGGCGTCACATCAGGAGGGAGAAAAGGCGTACTTACGGCCTAGCCGGTAAGTCTGGAGCTAGATCGCTCAAGAAGACTCCGCTGGTCACGTCTGTATCGCCGGTGCCAAGTATGATTGGTATCCCAGTTATTTTTACTTTCGGCCCTTCTGGCATTTGTGCGGGACAACCAAAGACCAAAACCGCTAAACGACGCGTACGTCCCCCGTCAAGAACAGGGATGGTAAAGAATATGCTTAAGTTTAGGTAAATAATAGTATGATAGATGTATATTCATAATTTAATAAGTTAAGAATTGCAGACCCGTTATCATTAAAAATTACAATTAGAAAATCAGCGGTACAGCGAGAGCTGGAGTAAATGTAAAATTTAGTAAACAAAATATTAATAAATGCATTTTTTAAAATACGCGAAAAGTGTTTAATACTTTATTTAGCATGCAAGAAACGTTCGGTTAATGGCTTTGACTTGAAGAAGGTGTCGGATAAAAATTTATCGATCAGCGAAGTTTCATCATCCACAGAAAAGTTTTCATATGTTTTTGGTGTTTTGTGGATCTTTCCATAAGAACGAGGTAAATAACTTTTTAAGAAAAATCATAACACAAGCATGGGTTTGGTAACACGCTTGAAATTTTGAGGCCAAATAGATCGAAATCAGACGATTGTCGGTTTGAACATAACTTTAGCAGTGAAAATATGAAGGATATCGGTAATGGGGGATAATAAAACCCTCAGTAAATTGCAAGCTCTGCTGATGCGTATAGTGTTTTAGATTACTTTACAAACAATAAACTCTAATACTTTTCAATGAAGAACTCATCCAATTCACATCGTATATTTATAATTCAGGACAAAATGGACTCCTGTTATCACCGAGACCCATCAACAAAGAGATATGAGATATTTAATATCATTGAATAGTTAGTTAAACCGATTGAAGACTTGTGCAACTCACCAATATATTTCTATTAATTAGGAAGTACAACCATTATTACTTTAAGGAGGAATATGGAAATAGACACTTTTTAAAATGAAAATATCATAGGTGTGACGGTTTAAAACAAATTTCAAGGGTAATAACAATTTAACCAGTAATTATGTACAAAAAGAATTTATTCAGTAAATTTGCATGACTCTACTGAACTCGAAAAATTATAATACTCATTCATAAGAAAGACTTTATTCTATTTCTTATCAATCGTGAAATTCTCCAAATTATCATATAAACCATCGTAGCGATTCCATTTGAAAATTTCTGCAAACAGAAGGAAAATTGAATTCGATCAACATATTTAATTCCATTATAAAAATAGCTTCGTACCACTTTAATTTACATTATTCAGAACCATTAACAATTGAAACGACTCGAATAATTAAATTTTCAAGAGCTCAATCTTTGTGTAGTATATGGTCATTTATAAACTTAATAACTGATTCGACTTAAATACAAATTAGGATTCAATACACTTACCTGAAAGGTAGGTCTTAACTTTTCATATTTTAATTAAAAAAGTCTTATTATTGGATTCTTACGATTACTCATCATCTTCCTCCATAGCTTCTGCGCCATTTTCTCCTGCAAATAATAAAATAAAATCGTTAACAATTAAAGTAATCCTATTGAATAACTTGTAACAAATTCTAAGATGTTATCAAAGTTATTTTAAAAATCCAATCATTAATTTATGGGATTCATATTGTTCAAGAGCCCGTTTGTTTGAAATCGATAAAAAACAAGTCCGTCTATTGATTTAACTATAAAATGCATTTTGCGGTATTCATTGAATGATAGAAAGGTATTACAAACTGGGAGAAGCAAAAGCGCACGATTAGATTTCATTTTTATTTTTTTTTCCTAAAAAAGACTGACGAACCAATGATGCCCTTTTCACTGGAAGATAAGTGTAATAACAGAAATATTCTCGACTTTTTTCATTCAAGTTAACCCGACCCAAAGTCAAAATCACGTTGTTACCCTTTTTTGAATAGTTTTTTCCTATTTTTGGGGCTTATTTCTATTCTAAAAAATTTGAACATATTTTTACTGTTGAGCTGAGCGCGAGAAAAACTGATTTTTCAGGTATTTCAACCATTACTTTCCCCCCATTAGTAAGTTAAGAGTCAATAAGATCGGTAAATGGTGCATCTATCTCGTATCTAGACTCCTATTATTATTAAAACGAGATCTACTGCGCACTCCGAATTTCGACTTCGGATTCGAGTTGACCAATAAGGAAAACTCTTACGAGTTTCGACTCAGGCGAACTTCATTTATGTATCTCTGCTTTCATGATAAGGAATCCGAAAAAAACGCAAGAATCTTCAAAAATATACAAGAATCAAGGAAAACCAACCGTCAATGAATGTGCAGACATGATGAAAATAGATAGTCCACTTGACGCAGAATTCTTCATATATAACTATGGAAAATATTTCCTGACTTCAACAGTATAGCGTCGAATCTGTCATTTGAAACTCTAATCAATATCAATTAAAGTAGAATATTCCGCATATAAGTGGAGTACTTCCAAAGTACAAATTTCGATCAATTTTCCTAACATATAGATACAAAGCTTATGATTCCTATTACTTTAATTTTGAAACTCGCGCAACAAGAAATCAAAACAGTTTTTTCAGACCATCAATGATTACAGAACAATTTTTTTCAGTTAAGAAACGAATTGAATTATAATTAATATTGACGACTGGGGTTCAACAATTCTTACACATGAGAGCAAAATAACGTAATTTCACGGATGCACTAGTTAATCAGAGATGAAGTTTCAAAAATTTGTTACATCCACCCACACGTACGGACATGGTTTTAAATTTGATGGATGACAATCCCGTTCGTAACCAAAAATAATGTGATGTTCAATTAACCGTGATAAAAAATTAAATTAATCGAAAATTAAGCACATTCTGCACCTATAGTCAAAACAAAAGTTTATGAGCCTTTCTATAATTCGTTATAATTATCGCAATTAATTATATAATACCTTTCCCGATTGAAAACCTACTAGAATAAATGGAATGATTTCTCACCATTCTCATGCTGGCCATCTCCAGGGATTAATCCAGATTGTAACAATTTGCTGAGTCTCTTGACTTCTTCCAAACTTGAGGCACTATTAATAGCTTTTTCGATTTTGTTTCTCTCTTCACTGCTCATTGTTGGTTTCTCAGGCATTCCCATCATCGCCTGCATCTTCGCCTTCTTGGCAATTTCTCTAGCCATATCCTTTCCAGTCTTACTTCTGAAATACTCGATAGCCGCCTGCCGTTCTTTTTGCTTTATCTTCCTGAAGTCTAAGAGACGTAATTGAGGAAGCCTATAGATCAGGTACTGTCTGTATTGAGGCTTGGCGGACACTGGGTTTTGCAGAAGACAAACGTTTTGAAGGTTCTTCAGGGGGATGAGAGGATCTAAATCCCCCAGCTCTTGTAGCATGTTTCCTGTCAGCATCAACGTTTCGAGGTTTGGAATGCATTGTTCTAAACCCTCCGAGATCCTCACAATTCGATTGTTGTTGAAGAATAGAGTTTTTATACGTTTTAGAAGCGGAAATCCATCTAGTTTACGAATGTCGTTGTCGGAAAAGTCGATTGTGTCGAATTGATCCTAGATTTTTGAATAAATCTTTGTTTATTTTATTTTTACAATAAACTTAGAGTACAAAGACAATCGAATTATTTCTATGTAGTCATCAACTTTTTATTGACTTCATTAAATTTGACTTTGAGATCTCTAATAAGTTTTTGTGACACTTAATAGTTTTTTTGAGTAAACCACGCTGGTGGAAATTTCAAAGACCGATTCTGTCAAGTGATGACAGGAAGTTTAAAAAAATGTGGAAAAATTACAAATATTATGAATTCCAACATAAATTTGTAGTACTGGTGATGGAATGACAAAATTCTGAGGGAAAAGTTTAGAGAATATTTCCACAAAAAATGTCATGTTACGTTACGCTACTCGAGTGGGAGGATATGATAGACAATGGAGCTAGTTGACAAGAAACGTCATGATAAGTGGAGAATTAAATTCTTGAGGTCATAATTTGTTGAGTTGAGTTGTAATTTTCATAAAAATGCTTCAAAAACTGTAATAAACGGATAAATTATAACATATCTCTATGAAATCCCTTTTAAAAAAAAGCATGTAACGTTTTTTGTCAGCTTTTTTTGGCGCATAGGTAAGCTATGCATATCATATTAATATATTCACATAAATAATTATAATATATATAATATATATTATTATATATAATATATATTATATATTATATACATATATATTAATAAATTATTATATTATATATATATATATAAATTTAAAATTTATATATAATTGTTTATTATGACTAATTTTTTTCGATACTTAAGATTCTTTTAATATTCAGATTTTATATGATAATACCCCATATATGTAAGCTTGGGCGCGCATAGCGCGCCGTATACGCTAGTATATAATAATAAGTGACAAATCATTTTACTTTCCTTCTTTGTTGGATAATTCGACAGAATTTTTCATTTTCTGTGAATAAGCATAATGTTCTGACATTTCTTGCCCGAAAAATTTGTAAAAATCTGTTAGAATGTGACACTTACTAGCAAAATTTAACAGAATATATCAACCTCATTTCTACGAGTGCAGAGATAATGTTAAGGATGTTCTGCGGTATTTTGTTATTTTTCCTATTTTATTGAGATTTATTGAAAACTATCAATCGGATTGGAATATGAAAATATAGCGTTTGTCCGTTACATGGTGATTTATCCTGTCACAAAGTTTCATCCCGATACACCAATTTTTATAACTGTTCCCTAAGATTTATTGATTTTTTATAAAATTTTGGTGAAAAGTTACGAAATTAGTGTATCGGGATGAAACTTTATGAAAGAGTCAATCATGATGGAACGGACGAACGCTATTTTTTCATATTCCAATCAGATCGATAGTTTTCAATAAATCTTAGAAAAACAGGAAAAATAACAAAGTACCAGCAAAACATCCTTAAGTATTGAGAAAAAATTACGGAATATTATGAGGATTGGATGGAAAGACTGAATAAGTCGGAATTGTTTGCAATGAAAAATTCGTATGAACAAAGGGCTTACTTATAAATGAATAGTTCGTAATTCGTAATTCGCAATCAATTTATGAAGACAATTAATGTATCCGAATTGAATGATATGTGTGATTTTTTTTCGTATGATCAATCAAAGAAATAATAGACGAATAATTACCAGCGTTGCCCCCAAATTCTCGATTGTTGGAATTTTATAACCTGAAAATATGGAAAAATGTTAGTTTTTATTTTGAAGCCTTTCATGCGTGAATATTTTTAAATTTTTTCGGCTAGAAATAAAAAGCGGTATTTTAGTAACCTCTAAGATCCAATTCTCGATCCCGGACAGGGTTTATATATTGCATCGACTGCTGGATAAGATCCGGCGTTAATTTCACCATTTTTACTAGAACTCAGATCTCCTTGAAATTCAAAATAATTACTTATTTTTTAATTGAATTCTTATTCAAATTGTCTGTGAGTTTCGGTGCACAAACACAATTTAGACACGATTGTGTTTTTGCAGCACAATACCACAATAAGGTTAGGGGAAAGCGCAGTGGAAAATGGTGGGGAGATTCTTCTCTTCTCAATTCTTATTGGTTATTTTTCAAACGCGGCTTTCAGCCAATCATAGCGCAGTATTTCAGGTTGCCCAGTCCGATGGAAATTCATCAATAGGTTTTCAAATGAAATTTTTACCGGGTGGTTCTTCATTTTTTTTTCATTTTATCATGCTTCCTGCATTTGATGGGGGGAGAGTGGCGCTCATGGGAAGTTGGGAACCAAAGAGGATTGACCAAAGTAAAGGCTCAGTTCTGGGGGTTTGAGTGACCCCAGGGGCATCATACTCAACGCTGGGGTATCTGCTCGTTAGCCGCCTCAGCGATTTTTCAGTAATATCCCTCCAGCTTCCCTTTTAATAACTCTGAGCTCTTCGATGCCTCAGATTCCACTGACTGGAATTTTTGTCGAGATGATTTCAAAGCCTCCGACTGCTGATTATTTGTGTTTCAACGAATTAACAGTTATTAAAAATATCTTCACAAATTTGTCAGTGATGTTTAATTGATTTACTTCAATAATTTAATATCGTACTTACCATTTTGGGCGTAGATATAAAATACGACATAAATTTAAGGCCCGGATGGATTATTTGGGAAAGATTATTTACTCCGAAATTTGGACTCCTAGTTACTCCGGAAATTAATAGTTTTTTCCAATAATTGTTAGCTAGCGCCGTAGCGGTTGTCAACAACTAGAACGCTAGCTAACAATTATCGGAAAAATCGATTAATTGATGGAGTAATTAGGTGTGCCAATTTTGGAGTAAATCATCTTTTCCAGACAATCCAACCGGGCCTTAATTCCAATTTCAAAATGCGGCACTCCAGCGCAGTCAATCACTTGGTTATACACGCACTCGCGATTTATCTGATGGAGCCATATCTACTGGCATCTCGACATCATCTGATCGAGAGATAAAATCATCTCGAAAATTCAAACCCCCGAACCGACCACGAAAAAATCCACGGAACGGATACGATATATTAATAAATAAATTTCACTCACCGGCGTTGGATGAAAATAAGTCAATTTTCACCTTTCGAACGACCTACCTTATCTGTAAACATAAAAAAAAAACAAATTGTTAATGAAATTTCGACAAAATAATTTTTTTACTGCAAAGGCGATTTTTAATTCTGATTCGAGAGTTTTTATTTTGAATTATTATTTAAAATTATTTTTTATTTAAAATTTTTTTATTTTATTGGAGAGTTAATTGAATAATTGAAAATTGTTTGTAATATAAGCATTGAATATATCAAGAATCAGGAATGAAAAAAATGACATGAAAATAAAATGAAAATGATGCTTCAAAATCATAAAAAAAATGCATACGAAACTCACCTTGTAGAGGCTTGAAAGATTCCCTCCAACTCCTGGTGATGTCCATGTGATCCTGACGCCAATCCTCCCATGGACGAGGTTGAAGTCGCCTTGGATGCACCAACACTCGAGACAGTTCAAAAATTCACTAATCACTCACCACACAACCAAGAATGTTATATCACTCAAAATCCACAAAGATCAATAAAATAATATCAAAGATCAAATAATATTTTTAATCATTCAAAATACGATGAATGAGAAAAGTAATCCTTCGAATCTAATTCGCACTCTCACTTCAGTCCGTACCTAAACACACACTATACAATTCCGAGAAACGGACAAAGGAATTTTTGTAAACACAATGACGCCGGGCGGCCGTTCGGCAATACCGAAGTTCAGTGTAACAAAGGTAAAATCTCAATCACTCAAAATGCTCTGATAAACTGTTTAAAAAATTATTTCACATCCCAAAATCACTTGCACTGAGTCCCGCACTTTGTATTTTCAATGTTCACAGGCGGCGCCGGTTTTCTGCACTCACTAGGACCCCGATGTTAACGGATTTTCACTACGTGACACGCGAGCGACTGTTCCACGCACTGCCGCCGAACGACTGACTCCCCACTCAAAATGGCGGGGCGTTGGAGGCGGCGCTCGAGTGGGGGGTCGCCAGGCGATACTCCGCGCATGCGCACAGGACACCCTGCATGCGCACAGAAGACCGTGCATACGCACAGCAGACCGTTCATATCTCCGCGAAACCCATCGAATCCATATATAGGGAAATTAATTTGAGCGAATTTTTTTCAATTTATAAAAATGCGATTATCTCGCTTCCTATGGGTCCTAGCGCGAAAATAATGAAATTTGTGAGATTCGAGGAGATATTCATTGAAATGAGAAAATTCGAAATTTTCAAAAGAGTGTCAGGGGAGCATGAAAAGGGAGGAGGTATAAACTGCAATTTGAAAATTGGAAATTATTAGAAAAGTATCAGGGGAGCATGAGATTCGAGGAGGTATTCATTGAAATGGGAAAATTCAAAATTTTTGAAAAAGTATCAGGGGAGCATGATAATTGAGGAGGTATTCACTGAAATTTGAAAATTCGAAATTTTCAAAAAAGTATCAGGAGAGCATGACAATTGAGGAGGTATTCACTGAAATCGAAAAATTCGAAATTTTGAAAAATGTATCAGGGGAGCATGAAAATGGAGGAGGTATTCACTGAAATTAGAAAATTGGAAATTTTTGAAAAAGTATCCGGAAAGCATGATAATTGAGAAAGTATTCACGGAAATTTGAAAATTAAAAATTTTTGAAAAAGTATCAGGAGAGCATGACAATTGAAAAGGTATTCACTGAAATTGAAAAATTTGAAATTTCCAGAAAAGCCTCAGGGGAGGATGAAAATCGAGGAGGTATTCACTGAAATTTGAAAATTCAAAATTTCAATTTTAGTTAATACCTGCTCGATTTTCATTCTCGCCCCGATACTCTTTAAAAAATTTCGAATTTTCAAATTTCAGTGAGTACCAATTTCGTAAAGCAGAAAATAACATTCACCCCGTTGACTGATCCGTCTGATAGCGGGACTGCTACTGAGGCAGTTACCGAGTCAGCTGACGGGCAGACACCCCACCGTTGGGTGCGGCCCCCTCTTTCTCTTGGGGTGAGGTACCCCTCCAGAACTGAGCCTCTCAGTGGGGGGTTTGAGTGACCCCACCATTGGGTGCGGCCCCCTCTTTCTCTTGGGGTGAGGTACCCCTCCAGAACTGAGCCGCTTAGTGGGGGGTTTGAGTGACCCCACCATTGGGTGCGGCCCCCTCTTTCTCTTGGGGTGAGGTACCCCTCCAGAACTGAGCCGCTCAGTGGGGGGTTTGAGTGACCCCACCGGCATTGTAGTACCTCACCCCAAGAGCGGGAGGGGGCCACACGCAGTGGTGGGGTGTCTACCCGTCAGCCAACTCGGTAACTGCCTCAGTAGCAGCTCCGGTGTCAGAGGGATCAGCGGACGGGGTGAATGTTATTTTCTGCGTTACGAAATTGATATTTCCTGAAACTGGAAAATTCGAAATTTTCAAAAATGGATCAGGGGAGCATGAAAAGCGAGGTATTCACTGAAATTTGAAAATTCGAATTTTTCGAAAAAGTATCAGGGGAGCATGACAATTAAGGAGGTATTCATGGGAATTTGAAAATTCGAAATTTTCGAAAAAGTATCAGGGGAACATGAAAATCGAGGAGGTATTCACGGAAATTTGAAAATTCGAATTTTTTTAAAAAGTATCAGGGGAGTATGAAAATGGAGGAGGTATTCACTGAAATTTGTACATTGGAAATTTTGAAAAAGTATCAGGAGAGCATGACAATTGAGAAGATATTCACTGAAATCGAAAAATTCAAAATTTTCAAAAAAGTATCAAGAGAGCATGACAATTGAGGAGGTAATCACTGAAACCGAAAAATTCAAAATTTTCAAAAAAGTATCAGAGGAGCATGAAAATCGAGGAGGTATTCACTGAAATTTGAAAATTCTAAATTTTTGGACAAGTATAGTGGGACTATTTAAAAAATGATAATTGAAAATAGCAGGAAAAAATGTGAAATATATTTTTAAAAATCCGAAAATAGAGGAAAAAAAATGACAGCAAAAATTATTGTTATTTACTGTTTTATTTAATTTCCTTTCATGGAAAAATCTTGTAATAAAACCGGTAATTGTCGCGGATTTAGAAATTGATGAATTTATTATCAATTCATTATTATTTATTATTAATAAATGTCATGGTTCTTTTTTGATTCCAGGTTTTCAAATCATAACAATTTCCCATCCATTGACTTAGTGGATTAGGCCTACAGGGGATACCACGTTAAAAAAAAGACGTCAAGGACTCTACCTCTTGGGTGACGTGGAAAGAGTATCACTTTAATTACTTGATTTATGAAAAAATAGTCAATACTGGGTAAGAATCTCTCTTATTGAAATAATCATATACCTATTGTTCATTTATGCTTTTGTAGACAATTTTTATGCCATACCTTTTTTTTCATGTCAATTTGAAAGAAAAAAAAATCAAACGACTCGACTGGCATTCAAATGTAAACGCCAGAAATCGCTGAATTGTGGGGACGAAACGCACATGAGGAGAAGGCGTTATACAGCGTTACGTACGACGTCTGAAGGTACTTGTCCCCTGTTTTGGTGTCGGCGACATCAAAGCTTGGCAATACCTCCCTGTATCATACTTTAACGCCAGTGCATTGCGTGTGGCACCCTCTCTCTCTTGAGGTGAGATACTAAAATGTCGGTGAGGTCACTCAAACCCCCAGAACTGAGTCTCTACTTTCATCAATCCTCTTTGGCGTAGCTTTCTCAAATCCTATTTGTTCAATTGCTATTGATGTTTAATAAAAAAATTGAGACCACTTTTTTCGGGGCTGTCACAGCAGTAACAATTCTTTTGCAAAAAGTAAATTTTACGGATAATAATTCGTCGAGTGGAAAATCGATTGCTTTGCAATAAGATGCGATGTCTATTAATTTTTGGAAAATTATGTAATTACACGGTAATTTTTTAATTGTTGGAAATCTTTGACTTCATGAATTATTTTTTTAGTATATCGGAAAAATTCCATAAATTCTGGAATAACTCATATAAAAATCGAGAATTTATTACAATAGATAAAACTCTATTTTACACCCCATTTATCTCGAGAAAATAAAAAATAGAAAATTGGTATAATTCTTTTGCTGAATTCATATTTCATTGAAAATTCCATTAAGTCTCGAAATTTTCATTCATTCCTTCAAAAATTAATCTAAACTAATTTTCTAAATAATTTTTGTACATTAGCCGTTGGCTAATTCAACAACAATTTAAAAAATAATTAAAAAAATAAATTCTGCCAATTACGTTTGTCAAGAACATTTCCGCAAAAAAAATAATTTCGTGGAATTATTTTTTTCCGGTGACGCCACAGGAGTCCCCCCAAATTTTTTTACTCCCCTCTACAACGACAATTCCAGTGTAAAGATACGAATTGCCACTTGTCGCAATTTAAAAGTCAATCAAAAAGTCAATTGCGATTGAGGCGCCATCACAACGCGAAGTCAAACTTGAGGGAAAAACCGGTCACTCGGTAAAAGGTCGTTGTCCTGAGTTCTCCTGTCCAACGATTGACTCCAGACTCCTGTAAGAATTGCATTCAAGACCCAAATAGATATTAATTCCATTTAGATCTGTAAAACGACCCAGATGTTGCCAAACCCAAGCAATTTCTCAAGTTTGCAAATTCAACTCCGGGATTTACAAGGAATTGTGATTATCGCGTTTTTATTCGCGCACGTCTCATGTTCTCCAGTTTCGTCTGATAATTATCCGGGAAATTGAAAACCTAGATGAATTTTTTGTGTATGAAATGTCATCATTCCTCTGGTTAAATCGTCTCCATAGATTTGGGTAAATTCCGTGGGTAAATAGTACTATCTGAACTTCAAGGCCACATCAGGTAGATTTATTTATTCGATTAATACTTGAGCGCCATGCATCAAAACTTTGTCACGTCAAGTTCCAGATGTCTCTAATTCGTCCGTATTGCAAAATTATTTAATATTCCGTCGTATATTTTTAGTTCCTCCTAAACCGGTTAGTTTCTCCAATTCATCGGTCAAAATTGTGGCTTATTTTTCAGATTCAGATTTGTGATTCTACCTGAATTGGGAATTCAAAAAGGCAATTGAATATTTTTTTTGTGAATGTCTCGGAATTAGTCAAAATGGAAAAATTCGGACTTCAAAAAAATTCTCGGGTATTGAAAATTAAAAACTGAATTGTAGTTTATTTTCGTAGTACTTCTGAATCAATTAAATTCAACAAATTTGTATTAATCCGTGAAGTCAATGATAACATGTAAATTCCAAGGGCAACCGGCATATTAACTCCTTTTCCTGTCACGTGTCAAACTTTGTTACGTAAATTTAAAATTATTTCTCCATATTCTCGCGACATTATTAAACGTTTAAGACACTCATAGTAGAATCCCAGAAAGATATTCATCAGTCTTAATTATTCCTCCCAATTGAAATAAAAACACAATATTTTCCGTCTGTCAAAAATTCATGGAATAAAAACCGATTTTTTCCAGTTGAAGATGTCAGTAAATTTGAAGAGCGTGCTAATAAGTGATCCAGTCGATGAATCGTGCATAGATCTATTGAAGAGTCACGGCATTGAAGTTACGACAAAGTACAAATTACCGAAGGATGAATTAATCCAAGAGCTGAAGGTATTCAATCCGCTAATCACGGCCTTGTCTGTAATTCCATATTTTCCAGTAATGATAACTCCCTATTTTCCAGAAACATGAAGGTTTGATCGTTCGATCCGAGACGAAAGTTACGGAAGAGGTGATTGCGGGGGCAACTAATCTTCGATTGATTGGACGTGCTGGAACTGGAGTGGATAACATCGATGTCGATGTCGCCACGAGGAAAGGAATCCTTGTCCTAAAGTTTGTATTAAAAAATATTATATTTTTATATTAAATGGTATTAGACCACGACTCACATAACACTTGATGACCTGCAAAACAGCAACCGATTTTCCCGATTAAAAATCAAATGGCAAGGCAATAAAATTAAATGAATAAATAAAAAATAAGAGAATAAATAATTAATAATTCATTGATAAATTGAGATCTCAAATCTGTGGGTATTTCATCTCTCCATCGTTAAAAGATCAATTATCAATCGAATCAAAATGAATATTTTGGATGATGATCGTATTAATGGAATAATAATTAAATAATTTGCAGTACACCTGGGGGGAATGCAATAAGTGCATGTGAACTGACCTGTGCGTTGATATCAGCTCTTGCAAGAAATGTTTCCCAAGCAGCCCAATCCATGAAGGAGGGAAAATGGGAGAGAAAATTGTTCTCTGGTTTTGAATTGCACGGGAAAACCCTGGCAGTTCTCGGATTCGGTCGGGTGGGTCGAGAGGTCGGTCTCAGGATGCAGTCCTTCGGGATGAAAATCCTGTGTTTCGATCCGATAGTCAGTGCTGCTGATGCTGCGACCGCTGGAGCCACTAAACTCGAACTCGAAGAGATTTGGCCACTCGCAGATTACATCACTGTTCACACACCCCTCATTCCGCAGACAAAAAGTGAGTGGAAAATTATTTTGAGATGTAAAAATATCGTGTCTCCCTAGAATTTAAAAAATAAACCATCGAACACTTCGATAGGCGAAATTATGAATTTATAGTACCATTGGAATAATGATAAATCAGCTGATAGTAAATGCAACGATTAAATTAATGCAATGGGAAATAAATATTGTAGAAAATAATTGTGGGATTTATTATTTGGGGTTTTAGATTTGATCGGCACTACAACTCTGGCGAAATGCAAGAAAGGGGTTCGTGTGATCAATGTAGCAAGAGGTGGAATCGTTAATGAGGAGGAACTCCTGGTGGCATTGAAATCAGGCCAGTGTGCAGGGGCTGCTCTTGATGTATTCAGCGAGGAACCCCCGAAGAATCCGGTGACCCTGGAGTTGATAAGACATCCTCAGGTCATTGCAACGCCCCATCTTGGGGCGAGCACTGCTGAAGCCCAACAACACGTGGCGCAAGAAATTGCCGAACAATTTATCGCGATTTCAGGGAAATCGGATAAGTATGCGGTAACTGGAGTCATTAATCCATCGGTTTTGCCTAAATGAGGAACCAGTCTTGAATTTTTCGCGCTCAGAGAAGTTTTTGGGGAATAATGTTGAAGCTCGGAGTTTTACAAAAATATATATTTTTTAATAGATGTCATTTAACGTAGAATTACGCATAATAATAATGATTCATCGTCGATCGGTTTCTGGAATCCACTGGAATTTTTTTCTCAATGTCAGAATTATCATTGGAAATTCCTCGTAACATTTCCCTGAGAGCGATATATTTTTTCTAAAGAATGTGTATGATGATTGGAATAAAGAGATTATAAATTGTGCGGCTTGTTATTTTTGGGGATTAAAGTTCTACGCTGAAATACTAATCCCGAGAGAATTAATAATACATAAATATTCGTATAAACAATGAATATTTCTGCATTCTGAATGAATAAATTTCATTTCTGCAATCGGAAGAAATTCTGGCTATGCGTCTAAATCAAAATATAAGTATCTTCATCTGAAATTTAATTACTTCAATTAATTAAATTCCCCAGAAGCCCATCATAAAATCCGATAGGAATTATAGCTCCGAAACGAGGGAAGGAAACATTAAAGAAATATTCCCATTAATCTCATCACTATAAAATCATGCAGATGACCACTTTCATTCATAATTATCAGACGCAATCCTCGACCACTCGATATTAATCCCCCACTCAATTCTACCGAAAAAAAAAAAACCAAACAATCACTCTCATCAAAACAGTAGCTACTGTTCCCAATATTTTGATGACTCATATGAAATGACAGGAACAATGAATCTTCTATTCTCACTGGGAATTATTCTCTTTTTCACTTGAATATTTCATAACCTAAAAGTCCATTCTAAAAAGAAAAATAAAAAGAAATATCCAATTATTCAAAAAAATATTCAAAAAAATGAAGGAGGAGCAAATGGTCTGTGGGAATCTTTTCTCGATGGGAATTTCGACAAAAAATAAATAAAATAACAATAATAATAATAAATGACAACATTCATAAACTATTATTTTTCAATAATAATAACAACAACAGAAATAATAATAATAGGTTACAAATACTGTCAATTTATTCGAGTCATCTACGAGGATAATAAATAATAATGAAGACCTCCATGTTGACTCTGGGATACAATAAATAAGTCTCAAAGAAAAATTGGTAATTGTTGCAAAATGTGAAATGAGATTTTCAGACATAACAGGTCTTTTAAAATTTGAGAACAAGACGCATGACACACCACTAGCGCCATCATCTCCAAGACGTGTGTCTGAACCCTGAACTACATCGAATTCGTGCGTCTCTCCTCTTCTAGGTATCACTTGTTGCGCCGCTCTGCAGCCGTTCTGTTGCCCGGCTAGACGCAACTCGAATCCGCGGCAAGAGACAACATTTATAATCATACATTAATAAAATTCACCAATTAATGTCAACTCATAGAGAGGAGTGAACCAACCGGTTTCAACTGATGAAGTGAATCCGATAAAGAGATAAAAATTAAATGTGTACGTCAGTGAAATCCAAAAGTGTAAATGTTCATCTTCGAGTGCATCTGATGCTGTGTTGTGACAGTGAATCCTGGGCCTTGGATTTACACCGGAAGTGCCCATTGTTTTGGATTAATAGCCGCAGTCATCTGTTACCAGTCGATTCGATAGCTCCAATCATGGTTAGTCATTCATTAGTTTCACTTCATCTCGATACTCAGGATTTTATTCTCCTGAGAGACGCGTGCGGTCGCAGAATAATAAAGCATTTGCGTGCATGCAAATAATATAGTTCTCAATTACGATTGCATGAGTCGAGCTGTGAAAAAATATCGGTCGCGCCTTTTTTTTTCCTGATGAAGAGAATACGAGACGAGGTCAGCATTTTTTTAAATCATTCAAGACGCTGTTTAATTTAATAATGTTCCGGTGTTGTGGGGAATCCTTGAAATTTAGTGAATAGTATTTATTTGGAGTTGTTAATGAAAGGAGAGGGACAATTTCCGCAATTCGGTGAATCTTCCACTTGGGGACATGTCTTTTGTTCAGAGTATTATGTATCGTACAAAGGTAGAGTAGCTCTTTCTCTCTGAGCTAGAAAACCTGGAAGACCTTTTGTCCGAAAAATCCTGCCGGATTCCGCTACAGGTATAGGAAACTCCAGAAATCTCAGAGGTATTTCCACTGCGGAGCGATTATCTTTTTTTTTTCACTCCCTTTTTTTCGGATCTTTTGATTTAACTTTTTTGATATTGAGCAAATTGTATCGTACGTCTCGGGCGTCTGGTTAATTCGTGTCGTGATGTTCCAAGTGACGGAGTCTTCCATTGAAAATCGAATGGAGAAAGAGGCTGAGGGTTTTATCCTTGGTAGGTATTCATAGAACATCCGTTTTGCCTCCGCCCCTCGGCAACCGCGACCTGCAGTAAACTCGGTGCAAAGGGCCTAACTGTACTCTTGTTTTAAAAAAAATATATGAACGCCATAAGAAAATTTTTTACTCACCAGAGTTGACACTAAATTTCTCTCCAATTTCTCAACGATTAATCAATCAATTAATCAATCAGTTAATTTTTTAAGACTCGTTAGTGAGAAGATAGTGAATATTTGTGAATATTTTTTTTTTCGGTGATAAATGGAATTGGGAATTTTAATTATCTCATTTAAGTCGAGTTGTAAAACGAGATAACTACTTTGTTCTGAGGGTTTCGCGGAGAAATCTCCGAAAATAAGGGAGATACCGGAATTTTTGTAATTACCATTTTTATAGGTCATAATGAGCTCTACAAAAAAGCTCCTTATGGAAATTTCGGTATCTTTCTTAGTTTCAGAGATATCCCCGGAAAAATCCGGTCATCCGGTGATGATTCCAGATTCGGTAAATCAATAATAATATGAAAAAATATAAAATCTCAACTCCATTATTTTAAGTCCCATTTGACTTCGCTGTAGGATTTTCAACGGTTATTCCATTTTGTTATAAAATAATAGTCCTTTGTTATGATTTTTAGCGTAAAATTCTAGTCAATGTTCTCGCATTAATTGTTATTGAATATTTAAAAATTTGTGTTGCTTTGAGTGTCTGAGGATTGGTAGTGTGCGTCCTAAAACCAGTTCCCCTCAGCGTCAGGGGCCAGTTTCGGTCCAACTGCATTTTTATTTCTCACTTTTATTTGCCTCCCCCTTTCTCTCGCCTTCCGGTCAATCGTTCGCAATACAGCTAGTTATTATTATTATGCATTGTGCAAGGACACTCTTACTCGAGTGGTACATAGTCCTGGATGAGAGAAAAAAAAAAGAGGGAATAACTATCGGCGCTATTTTTATCTAGTTTATTGTAAATACCGGGTGATTGTTCAGATGTGCATGGGATTGTATGGGTCGTGATGGCAAGATGTGGGAAACACCATTACCAAAAATACATTCTCCCTCTGTATACTACATGGTTGTCCAAAATAGAGATGCCGAGGGAGAATTCAATGCTAACAATCTGATATGGATTTTCATTTATTTTTTAATTCAGTCGTGTTCATTCATGGGGAGATTTGAATTAGTGTCAAGGCCCCACTATTTTCTCACCATTATTTCACCAATCGGTTTTATGGAGGCTCTTGGAAGTCAATTAAATTCAATTTTTTTGAATCTCCAATTCAATTCAATTTTTTTTTTTCGCAAATTATCGAAGTATTCGTGGGAATTTTTATTTTATTTTTGTTGTAATTCAGTGAAAATGTCTGGTTTCTGGAGAAATAAATTAATTCAAAGTTTTCGGCTAAATAATAAATTGAGAGAATTAAATAGGGAGATTAAATGTTCTGTTTAGACAATTGAATAGAATTTATTGATTTGAAATCGATTAGGATCGAAATATTTCCTAAATTATTTCTTTTGCTGAATCAATATTGACTGGTGATTTTTTTTCGAGAGTTAAACCGAACATTTGGGATTTTGGAGTCATATTTCAGACGCCCGATGGCAGGTCGTAATTCCTGTAAATCCCAGAGTGAAAAATCGCATTCTGGTCTGGAACAGATGGTAGATAGGTCAGGGGAGGACAGAATGACGGTAAAAAAAAAATGTTGACGGACAAAGCATTCGGCATTCTTCGGAGACAAACCGAAGTCACGTGGTCGTAAATTTTTTTTTTCTCCAGACCATGAATAGGGGGTCAGGTATTTCCGAGGCTGAGGCAAGGGTCAATGGACAATAACTCTAGGAGTTGCTGTGCACTTGCCCAGTCATGGGGATAAAACTAAACAGAAATTTTGTGAATGAAGCCGAAGACACTTCGGGCGAGTTTACGGTTCAGAAAAATGATAAATAAACATAAATGCAATAAATCAGTGCTGAAGAGATGAGTCTATGTAGGCAATGCGTCAGTTTTCGAGAAATTTCTCGGAATCTAAGAGAGATAGCGACATTTTTGTAATTGCCTTATTTGCAGCTCTCACTTTTCTCTACAAAAAAACTTCTGAGAAAAATTTCGCTATCTCTCTTAGATTCAGAGATATTCCCAGAAAATTCCAACTGCTGTTCTTATTATACTTCTCTACTACTGAATTTCGTTAATTACCGATAGGTCGGAAATTACTGATTTTAGAAAAAAATGTCAGAAGACAGTTTTTATCGAAAATTTAATTAGCTACAAAAACTTCCTTCAGCATTTTCTTCTGCAATCGATAGTTTTCGAGATAGATCGATAATATCGGAAAATGTTAAATTCTCTTCATGTGAGGGTGAAAAATAGTTATGTTCGGGTCAGTCCGGTGAAATTTCTCGCGATAAAATTATAGAATGAGAAAATACAATGACACCTTATCATGAACATAATGATTTTGATAATAAAAATGGTAACAAGTCACCCTGTGCGTCCAGACAGCCCTGCCTAGATTTTCGCTCGAGCGGTCATAACGCAAGGTTGAAAACACCCGATGAGATTCAGTCATCCGTGGAGACAGTAACCTCGAAAAAAGTACCTCACAGGTCCTGACATTCTATAAAAAAATTCCCCCAAAAGATCGCCAAAATACTCATTGAAAAAAAAACCATTAAACGAGTTACCGATTTGAAAAAATCATTACCCGAAATCTGTCAGTGATGTATTTCGCCTAGATTATGATCGTACCCTTTGGCTTATCATGTATTTATTTTTTATGTTCCATATTGTAACGAAGCAGATTTTTAGCCCCCCCCCCTCCCCTTTTAGCCCCCTGAATCAATAATCGAATAAAAATTAGTTCCGTACGACCCATTCTTACATTTTTATCGTTCGTTTAGTATGAATATTTAAAATCAATATTTCTCATAGGGTTATAATATTTAAATGTATATACAATCAATTAATGGCTATAACACCAATTTAAACATGATGAGAATTTATGGCAATTTTTTCCCTCGAGAATATTGAGAGATCGTTGATCTGAAAGATTTTAATTAATCAATTCTGATGAAAACACGACGAGCCATTGAGATGACAGAAATCCTTTCAGAAAAAACGGGCTTTTGTTCGAAAAATAAAATAATGAAAAAATCGGCAAGCGGAGGTATCGGTTAACTGTCAGGCAACACGCAGACCGGGATAATCTGAACAACTGGAAACAGTGAATAGACAAGTGCTTGTATTTTGTTAAATACCTTCGAGCGAGTACTCTCCTTTTTACTTGACGCGCAAGACTGGGTCAAATGTCAGTGTCCTGACGGGGTAGTACACTCTTATATATTTGCCTTGTAGTTTTATTTGTTTGGAGGAGATGACGAGTCGGGGTATCACAGACACTCTCAAACGGCATAATTAACAAATTCCAGCACTGTGTAAAATTTATTTCAATTTCAGTCACAAAGAATTGAATTCACTTCTACTTTAAAATTATCCCTAAATTGCTCATTTATTTTAACAATTCAGAAAAATTATTGGATATTTTCAATTAAATAATTGATTTTTCAGTAGATTGCAAACTCAGGGAAATTATTATAGACAAAGAGTTTGATTTTTTAATCATTTTCTGGATATCAATTTGATGATAGGGCATTCTAATCTTGATTTTCTAAAAATTTTCCATCGTCGTTTTGCTTCGATTAAATCGAATTAATTTATTAATTAATTGATTAATAATTGAAATACCCCCGAGAGGCGATTTCTGTCTTATCGTCAGTCGTACGAATTTAAAAATAATCGATTCACATAATCGACGGTTTACAATCTTCAATAAAAATCTGTCAGCGCTCCATTGATTCATTATCTGACCGATTTCCCCTTATCTACAACTATTCAACCCAAATAGCACTTAAATCTTATCAATTGCTCAGAGCTTTTAACTCTTATCCCTGACTCATGAAAACACGATTTTTCCCCAAGTCCAACACGTTTTCGGGATAAGCAAAATCTACAGAAACGGAAATATTATGCATTGATTACGAAAAAGCGAGAAAATCTGAAATCCCGCGTTATTCCAGGGCACAAGCGAAATTACCATAAAATAACATCCGAGATTTAAATTCCCACCTGATTGTACCTAGATACCGAGAAATTCGTAATAATAATACTTGTACTAATATGTGTACTAGTTTTAATCGAATGATGCGCTGAAAAATAGATTTTAACTCAGATAATGCGCGTATCAATGAGTACCTGGAACTCTGTTATCAGTATTACCAGAGGCGCTCCCATACAATCAAAACTTGTGGGGACAGAAAGTCAGGGCATTCACACTCTGTTACATACGGTATTTGTATGTGATACTCTCGTTACTCTCACCACCTTTTACCAGTGCTCTGTACCTTCTCTGTCTTGCACTCACGGTTAATTCCTCGGGCAGTTTGTACAGAGACATCGACCACAACGAATCTCTCCCTATCGATAGGTACTTTATTATTCCTTTAAAAATTATTCACCATTTTGTAACCACTACGATTATTCAGTCGCATGACAACAGCAGAGACTGACTCCTGCAGAGATATTCAATATTTAATATTCAATAGTTATTCAATACTATCACGGAATTATTGCATAGTGAAAATTCAAAGGCTATTGTGCGTGAAGTGAAGATCTAGTCAGAGATTTTGTGGAATACAACATAAAAAAATATTTTTCAAAACAATATCAGTTTCAATCGTTTTTAAATATAATTCTTCCTAAATTCAATTCAATTTCATTTTTTAATATAATTATCCATTGTTTTTATAATTAAGTGATTTTTAAGTGTCGATTGATTTTGGAAAATATTGATTTCAAGAGAATCAATAATTCAATTGTCAAATTCAATTTATCACGTATGACTTACCTGTTTTTTTTAAAACATATATATTCAATCCTATCAGTTTGTTCAACTCGTGGAATTACCGGAGAGCACGAAAAAGACGACATTTGTAAATTATTGTGAGTGCTTCGAAAAAAAATTATGAAAAGGATAAACAAATTACAGAGCAGTTCCAGTACTAATTATTTCAAGGCGATTCGCTAATCAGATTCATTTGCAAGCGTTAACGAAATGTCAGACGATCAAGCGCTGACCTCAAATCCATGTATTCAGCTACATCTGCAAATATGACTCCAGCGGATTGAATTTTTTCGCGGATGGAATACTGCTTGCGCAATGAGTACATTCAATTCGCTCAGTGTATTACCGCAGGTTTAGACGAAAGCCAATACTCGTGGTTCAGCGATGCGGACGAACGCAACATATCTGCAGACAAGTCATACGTAGAGATAAGGAAGTTGACGAAAGAAAAAAAATCAGATACGTTTCTTCCCTCTTTCTGTTCGATTTTAGATAGATCGGCTTACTCCAGCAGTTTCGAATTCACCGAAACCTTCCAATGATCGTTTCAGGCGATCGAGAAATAAACCGGGAAATAAAATGAAATCATAGCTTCCATGATTACAGATATTTATTTTGATTGATTAAACAACCGCCTGAGGCCTAATACAGTTCATTAGATAGACCACTTATAATTATTTCTACTTTAATAAAATTTAATCTGATTGAAATCTGATTTTTTGTGGTAGGGTGCAAAGGGGATTAATCAACGGTATGGAGGAGTCACCGACTGATGATCAGAGGAGAGTTGAAGACATCCAGCAGAACACCAGATCAGCAGTTATCAGTGATGGAGACAATGAGGGAGTAGCGAACAACAGTCGACAGCCGGTCCGGAATTCAGGAGAAATCGGCAAGTCCTCAAGGGGAATTCGATCACTAATTTCGACGGCAAGAAATTTCCCAGATTCTGATGAACGGAGAACGAGTACAAAGAATTTTCTGAAGGTATGCAAAGTGACGCCGACGATTCCCGTGACACCCAATGAAATCGGTGCACCGATAACAGCTGATGCGAATGGGAATCTAGAAAAAACTTTAGAAGTCGGAGATATTAGTGATATCAAGAGGTCAGGGATATCGCAGTCTGTAATCGGAAAGCTTCGGGAGAACCTAGTGAAGATTGATTTGACTACTGCCGAAGTATTCGAAGGGAAATTGCCGATCTTCAAACGAGACTGCTATCGTCATTTGAATTTTGCAGAAAGACCGAACGCAGCATCGGATGCTGATTCTATATCCGAAGCCTCGTCTATCTCCACTCTAAAATCAGAGAAGCCCAGGTGGAGTAAAGAGGTGTTGGAAGTCGAGAAGAGGTGGTCTGGGGAATTTCTAGACAGTCACCTAGATCGCAACTCCTCGGAGTCTTCGAAATCCTCGTACATCGAAGAGGTTGGAAGTGTATCATCGCATGAAAGTGGTAATCATCTGACAATCTCCACGCAATCTCAATCCGAAACGGACACATTTCAGGATGATCTGAAAGATTGTGAGGATACTCTCAGAAAGATAGACTCAAGTTACTGTGTCGAGGAAAGAATTAAGGCAGACGATGACATAATTGAAAGCCTTGGGGACAAGAATGGAAAGAAAAGTGAAGACAGTAACTTGAAAGAATTCTCGTCAACAGCTCCTCAAGAGAGAGAAGTCAGTGTCGAGTCAAGCCTCGAAGAATCGATTAAAGAGCCACCAGTAGACGGTTACGCAGAGTTAATTAAAGGAATAACCATGGACCCTTGCTCTTCAAGCCACAAAGAAGAGAAGAAAAAGAAGAGCGGCCTCCGTCGACTCCTGCCTGGTCTATTTTCCCCGAAGGATTCTCGAAAAGATCACAGGAAGGAACACAAAGAGAGAAAAAAACGGGACGAGAGGCACTTCAACCAGCACCAGCAGAATGGAATCTATACGAGATGTCCTGACACCATGAACTTGAATGACGATATAAAGCATAACGTCAACTTGGACACTAGTCTGAACGGTTCGATAATTGAAGAACGGCTCAACGAAATCAAACAAGAGCTATTCCCCAATCAGGGAATGACCACCAGTACACCAGATCACTTCCTTCAGGAGCGAGGACTTCATCAGGATCGCAGAACGCCTAGATTGTACACCGTTAACTCATCGATAAGTTCGATTGCTGGAGAGGACAGATGGACGGATCAGAATATCATAAGCGGTTCGCCAGATATGAGAAAGTTAAAGCAAAAGATTAGGAATGACGATAGAAAATGCAACTTAGAGCGTAAGCACAGCCTTCAGGAGTCTCAGCCTCGCTTCTTCCGGAATCACGGATCATCAGGTAGAATTTCCGCTCCACCATCTGAACGCTATCTCATACGTCCTCGTGCGGTGCACCCCATTGATCGGCCTTTACCCGCTATTCCGCAGAAAATTGAGTTCTCGAATTACCAGAATCACGAGGAGATTCGTAAACACGGGGGATATGGCCATCAGACTGTGATGAATTATCAAGGTCCAGCCTACTACACAGGCAATCAGAATTACGCCAATGAGGCAGAACTGTATGAGAACGGAAATCATATCGAGAGTGTCGAGATTAATAGAAATCAAAGCATCGACTCTGGATTCAATTTGACACCGGTATCGACGCAGATCAAGCAGAATCATCCATTTGTGATAACTCAGATTAGTGATAAGATCGGTGTCAACGTCGCAAGGTCCTCTAAGTACTCCCCGAATTCGAGTCAGAAGTCCGGAGACTACGCAGATTCAACTTACACTCCGAATTCGAGTCAGAAGAGCGAATTCTCTCCGGGTAGTTCGAAGAGTGGAGAGTACTACCTGAATTCCCCCAGGAGCAGTTGCCGGATGTCTCCGGACACGAGTTTCAATCGTGACCAATCTAGTCATGAAAAGACAATCACACCAAGCGATGTGCCTAATTCCGAAGTTCATCGGCCTGATAATTTGTATGATGAGGCGCCAAGATCACTATCAGCGAGTCCGCGTCAGCCTCAGCTGAATGTGTCTCAGGAAGGTACGGGTATACGTGCGTCTCCAAATATTCCGTTATCCTCAAATCTTGCCAAGTTACGAGCAAACGTGGAGGATGCCTCGAACACTGAGTATGAAGAGCAAATCGGCCGGCTTTCAGCACCAGTTCTAAACTCCTGTTCTATTCCTCCTTCGTTGGGGCAACCACCTGTTCAGAGAGACAAGTCCTTAGTGATTTTGACTTCAGCTCCATTGGAGCGAAGAGTAACGTCACCTCTGACTATATCAACACTCGATAACTTGTCGATCGAGGACAACCGAAGCCGATCATGCACACCAATAATTTCGGGAACAATCCAATCACCAAGAATACTTATCCAGACGAAGAGCCCCGAGAAGCTCCGGATGGCAATGTCACCACAATCTGCCTCTCAAATGAAAACAACTTCCACTACATCTACGTTCCAATCCAGGAAGGCACAGCCTAACGATCAAATTCTGATAGCTTCACCAAAAAGGGATCCTATCTACGACCAGCGATCGCCAAATAGAGTGGACCCTAGGTTCAGAGGATCTCAAAGCACTAGGACTGAGTCTCCCAATTCGGTGCACAGTCGCCAGAAGCTGTTACATCCTGTTGCTGAAGCTCTTGATCGAAGTGAAGGAATAAGTGAACAAGAAGTGCGTCATCAGCCACCTCCTCAGGCCTTCCGAGACGAGCCCCAAAGGCCGTTATCCCCCGTTATCCGACAAATAATTCCTGAAAAAGGAATTCCAAAGCCGGAATCGGTTTATGCTGACAGACAAACTACTCAGAGAACAATTAGTCCCATCTCTGGTACCTCTGATAAGAGTCGGCATTGCGTTAATGGACCACCGGATTCATTGCTCATTCGAACTGTGCCATCAAATTATTCACTGCAATCTCCCAAAACTCCTTTGAGCAAGGGACCTGACCAGAGAAGTCGCACGTCTCTGACGAGTTCTCCAGAGAAAGCTGAAGTTCAACGAAGAGTTGTTTCGCCAGTTGGAAGAGCTTCAAACCTCATCCCCGAGAATTCTGAATCGCTGCTACGGAGGAAGAAAATCCAGAGTCCCTCTAGTGAACGTCCTTGCGCTGTATACGACGAAAATTTATCGTCTGAAGGGACACCCGGAAGGAGAGGTCCATCCCCATCGGTTCCGACGGTTCGCACGAAGTCTCCTGGACACCGTCTTGAGCAAAATCCAGTACCAAATCAGCCTGTTTACGGCACTAGACAAGAGATTCCAAGGCAAGAGCCGATATACGACAAGCGTGATGTAAAAGAGAAAATTTACGCACAGAGGACCGAAAAGCAGCAACCGATTTACAGTCAAAAAACATCTGAGCCAATTTATGATCAGCAGTCTAACAAGCAGACATCTCCGTTGAAGTACCAAACTCTGCAGCATCTGGAGGCGTTCTACTGGCAACAGAAGGCTCTCGAGAATCAACGAACCTCTACAAACTCTCCAACTATGCCTAAACCATGTCAAGATCTTAAAGCCGACAAACCAGAGGTTAGAGAAGCGATTTATTGGCAGCAGCTGAAGAAATTGAATGACGAACAGCAGCAGAAGATCTTCGAAAGGAATCAGTTTGAAGATTGCAAGGAGCTGCCGAAGGAAAAGCTCCAAATATCGCCAGTGAGGGGTCAGAAGACGGATCATCAGCAACAGCTGGAGCAAGTGTATGGGCAGACAAAGGTGCAGCCCAAGGTGCATCTGTCATCAAAGCCACCAGTAGTCGGGCAGAAGTGCCAGAATCAACCGGTCCTCGTGGTGAGGCCTCAGCAGGCACTTCGCGATACTAACGATCTCATCAGTCAAAGATCCAAGAGTGTCTCTCCGCACTTCGTTCGTGGCTACGAACGTCGGAGCTTGCAGCTACCCAAAAAGACTGTGGGAACGATCGATGATGGAGGATTCACCGATTGCAGGATCGATCCACCATCACGAAAATTGATTACACCACCGATTTATGATGACACTGACGATCGCAAGAATCCACCACCGATTTTCAAACGCGGTAGCTTGATCAGCAACTCCAACAGTTCCGTTGATTATGGAACAATAGGAACGAAGCGAGTTAGCTTCTCAAATCAAGCGAACTCCCCGGAAATTGGCTCGGGTAATTGGCCGACAAAGCATGGCATGGCGCCTGAACCCCCGACCAGAAGACACAGGGCTGAGGACAAAACGTCTGACACTACGGATCTGGCTTTTGCCAGGGTTCAAGAGGAGAATCAAAATAATGTGAATAAGAGTGCTAATGATATCTATGGGAGCAACATTTGTGGACAACACGAGGTGTCTCAAGGTGTTGAGTTTGATGCTAAACCCTTGCCACCACCACCCGTTGCTGGTGTCACCAACGACAGGGGCAACGGTTACAGGGACAAACGACAGCAGAGAATCGATGCTCAGCGAGCCGTTCACGAGAGCCCCAGGAGGTGGACCAGGGCTAGTGAGAGTGAAAGTGGGAGTGAGACTGGGGAAGTTCAGAGAATTCTTCACCGCAGAAATGGTGAGTCTTCCTTTTTGGATTATATTAGCCTGAAGCCGTCAAATGACGCCTTTTTTTATCGTTGTATCTTTTCCGTTGAAATTCGTGAAATCTTCATTGACGCATGGTACAGTAAAGCCTTCGACACGTCGCACGTGTTACCTCATGTGTGCAATATTACCATTCATCGTGGGTGCAGCTACGGCCCACAAACATTCGATAATTGTTTAAATCATCGATTGTCGTAATTGCGCATATAATTCATTAAAAATTATATTTGAATGCGTCAGAAAAAAAAGATTCATGCAAAATGAATAGAAATGGCTTTCTGGAAATCTTTGCGGAAAACTTTCATAATATCTAGTTTAAAAAATCGTTTAATACTATTTGTTTTTAATACACAAATTTTTACGACGTGAAACTCTCGCGTTTTATCTCCCTGCGAGTTAACTATGAATTAATTCTGTCAATCTAAAATTAAAATCAGGACACCGTTTGCGTAAGGAAATTCTGAAAATAATTTCATGAGTTTGACGTGTCCTGAGAAAAAAAATCTCTTCCACTGAATATATTTACGTCTCATCGTCTATATTAATACTTCCGTGAGGCAATGCTTGATATATTACCCTGGCCTTAATAAATAAAACAAAAGATTTTTTTTTCTCAACGTAAACACCAGCCGTTATCAGCATCCGCTCGAACGCGACTCTTATCTCTCGATTATCGAAATATCTTTAGAGCTCGAACGATCGACCCGCGGTTCCCCCGGGAGATGGAGCCTTCGGTGAAGATGAACTCTATCTCCACAAGATTAAAAATCAATTTAAACTCTTCACAAGCTCTTTTCACTCATCAGTATCGAGTAACAAATGGCAATTACCGGTAATTAAAAGGGAAAAATAATTCACTGCAAAAGGGGGGGTCGATACGAGACTAAAATAGAGTCGTTGAAACATAATCTCAATCACAACTGAAACAGATCGTTAATGAAGAGAACGGGTGAATCGACGCGGTCATTATGTCCGGCAATAATTTCCGGTGGGAAGAGTCGGTGTCAGTGAGTCGTGAGATTAACAGGTAATTGTGTCTCCCGTAGGAAGTGGATATGTTTTTGAAATGGTATAGTAGAAAATGGACTCTGGTATGGGGGCTGGAGGGTTGGTCCAGGGAGAAGGGATGAAGTAGTGGGAGTAACTCCGAGTTCGGGGATCGATCCCCAACTCCCGTGACGTCACAAACCGGGACCCTCTGCCAACCCGGCACACACCGGCAATTGGAGTTTGCAACACTCTTGCGCCATAGTGGTACATAGGGCTTTTGTGTTGTGGTTTCCCTGTTATTTCACTTCTGTTTCCATTATGTTATGAGTTATGGTGAATTATCCGGTGGTCGTGTGCTTGTGATTTTGACCGCCAGTGGACATTTTTCCCCCCGTTTTTCATTACCGGATATTCCACTTTCGGGGATTTTTTCCGATGTAACGGAAGTCATGGGCTACATTCGTAAGTACTCCGGGGATTCTGGAACGTGCGGTTCACTCCCCGGGAGAAAACGTTTGGTTTAACTCGAATTCACGAGCTCTTTGCGGAATTTGAACGGCACGCGAAATTATTTCCGAGAAAATTCACAGAACATTTCGTGTCTTTTTCAGTCGCGGCATTTTTTTTTAGCGTTCGCTACACGGAGAGAAATATTTAGTAAAAATTACGGAACTTTCTGTTCACTTACCGATTACGGAGTTGATTCGAAAAATTTAAGTGACGGTATCGTTATTTTTCACCCATAATTCAGATAAAAATTACGGAACACCGCGGTAAAATTCCGTGACTTTAGATAAAAATTACGTGACAGTTCCGTAAAATTTCCGACAACCACATTTCGCTCCAGAATTACGGAAAATACACGTAATTTTTATTGAATATTTCTCTCAGTGTAGAGTTTTGGGGTTCGATGAATTCGGGGAAATTCGAGTAAATCGGGGAAATTCCATTGGGGGAGGGGAGATGAATTTTTTTTTTTGGGTTTTCAGGGCTTTCTAGTGTGGGAATTGTTCTAACCTCGAAGTAGTTCATTTGTACATGTTCATTTGATTTGACAGCTGATCGATTTCGATGTTGACGCAGTTGACGGAATCGCGATCGGGTGTTGAGTGTCATCTCCACGTGAATGAAGGAAAAATACGGGGTAATTAGCCGTTGGTAGTCATTGAGTTTGTGGGGATTGAGTATTTTTGTATCGCGGGAAATCGATAGTCGACATATTAGCCGCCGGGCACTTTGCCAATTGCACGGAATCGGATACAGTTTTTCGTCTTCAGGGGTACAATTTTACTCGGTCGTATTAAATCGTAAATTTCTACCAATGACAGCCTTGGATTTTGGATTGTCGACAAGGATTCAACGAAATTTACCGGTTTATGTCGACGTAAAGTAGGAAAATTGATAGATTAAGGATCGATTCCGATTTTTATGTTGGGATGATTTAATCGGATTTGGAGAAACGACTTTTTCCGATTAGATCTCTTCGCCGATATCGAGAGAATCCGGAAATTGCCTCTGAATTTCATATAGAGAAAAACGTTGTAAAAAGGGAATTTTCAACGAGAAATAGAATTTTGATTCGATAAAAAAATTTCTCGAGTTCCGAATGCTTTTTCAACATCAATAAAATTTTTTAGAATTTTTTTTTAGAGGAAAGATCAATTAGTATCGATTATTATAGACAGGCGAAAGTTTTCTGATGTTCCACAAAAACTTTCTAGAGTCAAGAAAAAATTTTCTCGGTTCTGGAAAAATTGTTTGGACTTTAGAAAATAAGTTACTAGCTTCGGCAGAACTTTTCCTCGTTATTTGAAATTGAGAGGGGATTTTCTGTATTTTTTTTTTCTCCTCGAAGGATAAAATACCACGAGAAATTTCTTTTATAAAACTTAATGGGAGGCAGTAATAATAAGTTTGTCGGGCAAATATCGTTTCTTCTTTTATAATTTAATCATTGGCATTTTATTATTGAAATAATGGAAAGGAGTGATTAAAACGTAAAAGTGCGTAAAATGCGGGTGAATGAAAAAATATTGACTGGAGCAGCGAATGTTTTCGATAAAGAAAAATTGCCGGTATGAGCTGGTCTTGATAAAAAATCCAGTCAGTTGATAAATCATGCTGACTCGTTGGAAAAGCAAGGACAAAAGCTCCTCGAAGAGTTCCTCCAGCGGAAGTGGCAGCAAAAAAAAGCGGAAGTTCGGTAGAGAAGGTAGGCGCCACTCTTTTTTCATCATCAAACAACTCATTTCGGTATTTTTTACTCTCGCTTTGACGTGCGCAGATGAAAAGAGGCGATGTTGTGGTGGTTGCAAGCACGTAATATGATAATGTTGTTAATTAATTTGATGAAATGGTGGTGCGTCTCGTGTAGAGACAAAATACGACGTGCGGCGCTTCGTTATTTTAGTCGGTGCTACCAGAAACTCTCTTAATGACGTGTAACCACTGACTAATTAAATAATAATCAACAAAAACTCATTTAATCGTGATTCGAGTACAAAAAATATTTCAGCGATCCATCACCCACACATTTTAATTCGAATTAATTAATCGAGTTGTTGATTGGGATTTTTATTGAGAATAAATTATAATCACGAATAAATGTGTTTGTTGATGATATTCTTGTAATTAAAACATATAAAATAATTTCCACTCTTGAAGGATCAATGATTAAAAAATCCTTGATTTCAATATAAGATGTTTTCTGGAATTTTCCGAGAATTCTCGATTTTGTTCAAACTCCCGTGAATTTTCTCCATGATTGAGAGAAACTGTGATAGACCGAGTATATAACACGAGATTTCCATTTCCATTGGGCCACAATTCACCTCCTCGTTTCCTTCGCCAAACTTTTGACAAATAGGGGCGAGGAGAAAACTGGCAATGTTATTTCGTTCAATTTGAAAAATGAAGGAAAAAGAAGGTGAGGGGATAAAAAGCGCGGAGAAAGGTTGGAGAGGGTGATTGTGTGAAAGCGGTTGAGCGGGAGAAAACCACTTCACCCTTTTCTCAATAGCTCGATTCGCATAATGAATTATCATGAAAAACAATTCCTTCCTTCCTTCCGGACCCGAATTTTCAGGTTCAGGTTGATAATACCTGACCCCCATCCTGGAACTGACATATTTTTGAACAGCCTGAAATACAACCATGCCAAAATTCAGGTCAGAGATTATCGACCTGAACCTGATCAGGAAATTATCAGGTATGCTGGGCGAGATTCTGAGCAATGGAGATTGTCGGGATAATTCCACATATTTTTATTGATTATAGTCGCGCCAAAATCAGGTACCCTGACCCAAAACTCAGTGAATCCCCACCCGACAGACCTGATCACATAATCCTGATTCAGAACTGATTTAGATCCGCGTACACTGCGTAAATTACCGTTGGGGTTGTCACATAAAAAGGCTAATACATCCACATCAGTTTTCATGCCACATATTTCTGGCCTGAACCTGATCAGTAACTGATCAGGTTTTCAGGTGTGATTCTGACCAATAGAATTTGCGACATATAACTTTCAATTGCTCTGAATGACCACACATGTACTGAATTCCGATTCAGGTTCAGGTTCAGGTATTCTTGTGTGGCGGTTCTGATGAGGCAATTCTCAACCGGATTTGATAAAAAATTGATTGGGATCTAGATAAATAACGTGCATTTAAATTCCGTCTTGTGCCGATAAAAGTTGGACAACACCCTGTGACGTTTGCGTTGCGCCTGCGCTGGCATTAAAAAATATTCTCTCAGTGTAGAAGCTTCACCTCCACCATCCACCCAGTCTCCCTCTTGCTCTGGATCCGCCGGCGGGTGGTATTCACCCACCTCCCCCCGAGAGGGGTTAACCGATACCTAACCTCGGTAATACGTTACCCCACTGATCGCAAGACCAGTACCGACAAACCAGGCCATCCTACGGCTTATCGTGTCGTCATTATCTCCATTGTTAAATAGTATCGAGTAATAATCACTGAA